TATAATATTTTTCATGATTTCTCCAATTCGGTTTTAATAAGTAGCCTACTTTTCGATTTGACAATATTTTATTTTATGTTTGGTGATTTACTGTTTTTGGTTTGAAATCTATGAACTACCAATTGTGTACCTAATTTATTTTTATTAACTATTTATACAGGATCTGATCGTAAGATCAAATATTCCTCATGTTTATTTTTGGGGTCGCCGGAATTTTATCCCCCTGGAATTTTACCCCCTGGGCAAAGCTGACGTCACTATGACGTAGTAACCTGAGTGGCCAAAAGTTTGTTCGCGGCCGGAATTTTACCCCCGCGGATTTTGAAGTCTAATGAAAATAGTCAGAGCGTGATTAATTATTAGATTAGCGATAAAAACCGGAATTTTACCCCCTGTCCATATAACTAGCGTTTAGGCAACTGAAGATGTACGGGCCGGATTTTTACCCCCGGAATTTTACCCCCCCCCCCCGGAATTTTACCCCCGGAATTTTACCCCCTGGCTGATTTTAGAAATTGAATGATTGATTTTCTTATTTCTGTTTTTAATTAATTGTAAATATTTCATTATTTAGTAGCCTATCTTTATTTATTTATTTTGTAATCTCAACTAAGTAAACAGAATTCGCTGTTTTATTTTGATCATATTAACCAACAGTTGGCTTCAAAGATCGAATCCTGACACTCGAATCTCAAAATTAATATTAAAACCCTGTTCGATTAGTTAATGTTACATATAAATTAAGATAGGCTACTTAATAATAAAATGTTTACCATTAAATTAAAACTGAATGACGATAATTAATCATTCTCACTAATTTATATCTGGCCAGGGGGTAAAATTCTGGGGGGTAAAATTCCGGGGGTAAAAATCCGGGCCGTACATTCTAGGTTTTTATAATTTGATGTGTTCTGATTAAACTCACAACCGTGAAAATATATGTTTCATTCCGCGTTTAATCTATCGAGCTGATGTCGTGAAACTCAAAAGTTCGCGGCTGAAATTTTACCCCCTGGTTTGTGACGTAACGTTTGCCCAGGGGGTAAAATTCAAGGGGGATAAAAATCCGCTACCCCTATTTTTGTTGGGGAACCTTCATTTTTGAGCCTTATAATTTTATTTGGCCGATCTACAGTAGGACTACATTGTTACAGGCTATGTCAAGTAGTGTACAAGCATAAAATCAATATCAAGTCTTAAATGTTGTAACTGTTGTACAACTCTTCGACTGTTGTTACTATGTAAGTGATTTATTGATTTTTCCTCATTAAAACCACTGTGAATTAAAATGTATGTGTAATTAATAAATTGAAACCTGTCGTGTTTATTTTAACGAAGCTCGTGTACTAGATTTGTCACATACGCGTGCATTTCACGAATACTTTATACAGTACAGAACCGCGTGGCTGAAGATAGTTGTTACATTGAAGGCGTCTACTCAGATTTACGCTTAAACTACTGTACAGGACAGTTTTGTTGGGAAAATAAAAAAAGTTAATGTTAGAGTGTGAGGATGGTCCATAATTTTATGTATGCATATTTTATCTATACTACTAAAAGAATTTGTTGGATTTTTTGTGCAGCAAATCAACCCCTAAATATTTATTTTTATAGGCATATTGGGTATCAATTTAAAGCTCTTATCCTCTAGATGTGACTTTTGCGGGATGTCTCGTAAAAGCCCTTCTAAAACAAAAAAAAACAAAAAAAAACAAAAAAAAAAACAAGTGAAAGGTCAAACAGGCTTTTAAAATTTCAGAGTTTGTGCTGAATTCTGTTGTCAATCATCTGAATTATTTCAAGTTTACATTTGTTTACATATAAACAGATGGCTATAATACAATTTTGTCTGCATCCATACAAAAATAGGGTTATCTGTAGTTGGTAATGTTTCAGTGAATTCAAGTAAAATTTAATGCTATTGTGTATAAAATGTAAAAAAGAAAATGACTTGCGTTGGATTTTGTATTGTGATAGTATTTTGTGTTTTAAGTATGTTTTGTATTGGTGTTTTAGGGAATTAAATTAAAATATTGTAAAGTGTTTATTTGTTCAAAATTTAAAGAAGAGAATTTGTGTTTTCATAGTATGTTTCATTAGCATTTTTAATTTGCCTCGATGAGTCGCATGCAATTAAAATAATAGGGATATGATAAGAAATTATGGTTTTCACCCTTATCGACTATATATCAAATATATCACGAATTTCGAAGTCACGAAGTGACGCTGGCTGCTAGTATTGATAAAAATATTTTACTAGCTGATACCAGATCAATTTATCGTGTGAATTTTCGACATTCATTCAAAAGCCACACCTTGGTACATATCATGAACTTTCTTTACACCAATGATTTTGTAACGTTGGCTGCCATATTTGGTTGTATACAAAATAATGAGCTTCATTGTAAAAAAAGAACAGATGCTTACTCCTCTCACTCATTACTTGTAGGCCATTGAAAGAAGGGTCAAAGTCAAGGAAAGCCCTCCAGGAAACTCTCTAGGACCAAACGTAATATTTCATTAAAAAACGAATTCACGATCAAAGTTTTTCCAAACAATGCATCCGTTGATCCATTTAGTTAACAATTACACTAACTGGATCTACTCACGTTCATCTAAAACCTTCCCTGCAGTACTATCCATTTAGAATTTACAGTGCCTTCGCTCAAATTTAAGATTGAGGACCATAAAAATGACAGTTAATACACCCTCCCAATGGCTGTGGATGGTTTAACTCCTTCTTTTTTAAGATTATTAAGTTATGTAATGGTGAAACTTTATAAAATATTTATAAATATAGATTCACTCTACCGGTACTAAAAATAACTAGAGTTATTGTACTATAACCATTATAGAGACAAGAATATCTAAAGGAGTAAAAAACACTGTTTGTTGTTGTCAAATCAATATATATTATGCATTTATGGACAGTGCATTTATATTATGCATCTATTAGAACAATAACTTTAATATTTTTTAATTTGATTGATTTTGTATATTGTATTTAAGACCAGCTCTATCCAAATTAGTGGGAGGAGAGGAGTTAGATTATTTATCCCAAAAATGAAGTTTTGTTACCTTTTGTACATAAAAAATGCATTTTGTAATAATGAATTAAAAAATGTATTATTACAGTAAAACCACACTAACTCAAAACCTGGTATCTCGACAGTTACAAAATACATGCTTAATATCATACTAATATTATAAATGTGAAAAGTTTGTTTGTTTGAAGTTCAATCACGCATTAACTACTGGACAGATTTGGCTGAAATTAGGCATGATGATAGCTCACATTCCCGATTAACATATAGGCATATATATCTCAAAAATCCTTTCGGGCTCCGCCCCAGTGGCTCGATAGTTCCCCATGTTAACCTTATGAGTATTCATATTTAAAGGGAATTAAAGAATTTAGTCAGCTGTTTTAAACAGGCTGTTTCAACTAAAAAGTTGGTTCTATAATATGCAAAATACCCCCGCCGCAGCAAACCTGCCGACTAAGCGAATTTCCATTTGTCTGAATTGATTTTCAGTTAAATATATTTTAATAACATTAGGTTTAACGAGTACGTAGGTTTGCTGCTACAAGGAAACTAATAAAGTGCGTTTTTGAGTAAAATATTGATAGCTTAGTACAAAATAAATAAATTTGCCAAGTTTGATCAAAATATATTCATAAACAAGCAAACTACAACATTTGACAATATTCTCCATAAGAATAACATGGGAATTTTAAATTTACAATTTTTTAAATTTACTCCGTTACTAATAATTGAACAAAAATACTTTTATATACTAAATTATTTGTTTTTTTAAGCTCTTTAAAAAGGTCTAAAGAAAAATTGGGAAATTTTGTGTTTTGAGGGTCAAAAGTGAGAAAAACCAATTTTTACCCCATAAAACCCCCCGTAAAGCCCCGTTCCCATGGTCCGATCGTGCTGGTTCGCGAACTCATTCAAGTTTATCACGCTTTACACCTTTAAACCAAATTTCATCAAAATCGGACAAAAATTACTCAAGTTATCACGTTCACGGACGTATATATATATATATATATATATATATATACATATATAAAAATGTGAACGAATAGTGTTTTTGGCCTCTGGGGACATCAAGATGAAAAAGTAAATCGGTCCCGGGTCTAGGTCTTACCGTGCCACGTACGGTAATAGCTACTTCCCTATAGGGAAATTCGCTAAAACATTAAAAGTTACAAGATTAATCAACAGGGTGCAGCACTATTATTTTTTTATTTATGAAAACAGCTAATTTGAACCAAGCAGCAACAAAAAACCGTGATACACAATGAGAACTGTCAAAGTTGGATTGTTTACACATATGTTTATGTTTTTAATTTTATGAATAATTTGTGATATTTTGCGGAATTTTAATAATTTATTTTTCTCTAATTGTTAAGCTGAAGTGGTAGAACATTATGGCTATGGTAGATGTGTAATACTATAGTATACCGTAAATTTAAAAAAGGAAATTTGATCAAACTGTGTCCTCCTCTATTGTAAACGCAACGCTTGAGTATAAATGCAATAAACATTTTATACTTATATGCCAATCCCGTACGAAGGACAGGTACTCTGCTAGTAGAATCATAATGAGCATGCATAATGACAACTACTACAAATTGAACAATTGACTAAGGTTAGAACAGATGGATAGCTCTTCTGTTATTTTTACTTTTACTTTATTTATTACTTTTAATTTTAGCCTTTATTTAAATAAGGACATACCTAAACTTGTAACAAAACATTTTTTATTGATCTTATTTACTTAACAGAAAACAAAAAACATATGATATTAAAGTAAATTATTTCGACAGTTTCTGGGATGCTGAACATTTTCCATTATACAATTAATTAAGTACTATATAAAATTCTCAACAGGTTCTGTTCTGTCATAGCCTACTAGAATTGTACTTCCAAAGTCGCTGTGTCCCAAGTTGAATATACTGATCTACAAACTCTTCTTTTATGTTTCAGTGGAACCGCTGAGAGGAAATATGATGAACCAGACGAGTCCATCAAAAGACCCTTTAATTCGGCCTAACAATTGTTACGACAGAGAAGATCTTAACGAAAATAATCTCATCAGATCTTTGCAGAACATCAGAATGAGCCAAGAAAACTCAGAATTCTCAGAGGAGTACCACTCCAATAGCCTGCTGTTTGAAGGTTACAATGACAATGATGATGAGGTATTTGAAGAGTTCCAAGAGTCTAGTACCATCACCTTCACTCGTGAGCCTAGGATCAGGAGGATATCGGATGTGATTGATTCCATCGGATGTAGTCCGTCTTCGCCAGTAAGCAAGTCTAGCAACAACTTTGACTTTACGGAGCGGGCTGTGACGGAGACAGAGGAGAGAAGTATATGTATCGTGAGAAGAGAAGAGGTCAAGTATGGACCCATCCACCTAGACAGTCCTCCAGTACGTAGGATCATGTCCAGTGTAACAGATAGTCAGGCCTCCCCTCCGCCCACCCCTGGGTCCGACCCTGGCTACTGCAGCGCCAGCCACGCCACCCCACCTCCGCCCTCCAACCTCGTGTTCAAGCCCAAGTGGTTCAGGTTCAGTGCTTCCTCTCCGCCCAAGCTGGACACCTTGGACGCCCATGTCATGTGTGCTCCTGAGGAGGAGCAGCAGATGAAGCCCACCACCACTGGACCTGCCAGTGTGGTAGGTGGAGGGGGTGGCGTGACTCCTTTGGTCTATCCTCAAGCACAGATGCCAGTGCCTCTCAAGAGTCTGGAGTACAACATGGACCACGCCAGACGTGGGCATGCCATCATCTTCAATCATGAGGAGTTCACGATGGACAACACTTCGCCGCGGGTCGGCAGCAAGCTGGACGCAGTCAGACTACAGCAGACCTTGGAAGGACTGGGCTTCACTGTGCAGATATATCATGACTTGGACTCTGACAAGATCAAAGCCAGGATCAACGAGTGTGAGTAGCTCTTGTCTGCGTACCACCTTTTAATGTAATAGTACTTTTAAACATCATAAGAAAAGAATAGTTTGGTCTTTTCTCTTGTTGAGATTATGGAATGAACCTCTAGAGATTAATAAAAATTTGCACATCTTTGCTCAGTAGTAATTTTTTTGTATTTTCAATGCTATCAGCAATTTTTCAAGTGAACAATCCTATATTGTTATCATACAATGTTGAATTTTTGTTGGAAAGCGTCATTAATTGATAGCCTAGTGACAACTTTCATCTGGGTTCAGGACAATCTCCCTTGAAATTAAACCAGGGACCTTCAGATTTGAAGGAGAGCACTACACAATGCGGATGATAAGTTGTGCTTTGTTGCTGTTATAGTGGCAAGCCTGGACCACTCAGACTGTGACTGTGTGTTGGTAGCCGTGCTAAGTCACGGGATGGGCACCAGTTACATCCTGTCACATGATTACCCGTATCCCGTGGACATGTTGTGGTCACCCTTCATACCTGATCGCTGTCCTACGTTGGCTGGAAAACCAAAGCTCTTCCTGATACAGGTAAGTTACTGGTGTATAGAGTAAAAATATAAAGTCACTTTAGAATGATGGATAATCAGAGGGATAATCAGTGGAAGGGAGGGCAAGACCAGTCAAGATCCATCCAATATACAACAATTATTTTGTTCATGTGACATTTTCTGTCACACAATACATTTTTGTATAGGAAATATAAATATTTTAAAATCTTGTATAGTATTAAAATATTTAGTTATGCAACACTCATTGTATAATGTAGCTCAGAAAATGTAGTACTAAGCACACTTTTAACACACTTTTAATAGTTTTTTTAGAATAAAAAAGTGAGACAATTTCTTGGCTATCCTCCAAAGATGAAAAACGTAAGCACTAAGCAAAATGGAGTATGGAGACAGTTGTACGAGTATTTAGACCCAGAAGTTGTGGCTGAAGCAAGAAGCAGGATGATGAGATTGGTTTTAATTGTACCAAGAAAAGAGGATGCTCCTCAATCAAAATTATATTGTCGCACAATCCCACCCCCACGGGTAGAACACCAGTTGGAAGGTTAAAACTGAAATGGCAAGGCAAGATCTGAAAATACCTGTGAAGGGAAGAATGAAAGAGTGAATCCGGGAAGTTTGGATGCAGTGTGTGTTGGCAAGGCCATAAGACCTTGGGTACCAAGAGCCACAGCAGTTAGTAAATAAGTCACTTGAACTTAAAGTTATTCTCAAATGTGCACTGTGCAGGCCTGTCGTGGAGACAAACTTGACGGAGGAGTTCAGTTGGTGAAGAGGACGCAAGTGGACAGTGACTCTGGCAGTCAAACATACAAGATACCTGCCATGGCAGACTTTCTCATAGCCTACAGCACAGCTGAGGGTTAGTGATATCATGTCAAATGTTATATAGTCCTAGCAATTCATTGGAGGTTTTAAAAATTAACTTAACTTTTACCTACAACTATGCTATTTGACACAGACTTTTGTATTTTAAATTGTGAAGGGATAAAGAAAAGTACTGTATTTTACAATTTCTACTAAATGCTATTTAAGGTGGATACAATGCATCATTTATCTAGCGCTGAATATTTGAAAAACTGCGTACTCATTGTGTTGTTATCTGTTGATTTCGGAGCTGAGATGCCAACACAGTTATCTTTTTCCAAACAGCCTGTTCTTTGGGAATAGCACATATTCATACTCTTAAATGTGTGACCAACACAAAAAGGGAAATAGCGAACACTGTTGGCCACTGAATGACAGTTAAATGAACACCCATCCACACTAGTCATGATTCGGCGAGTAGCTGCTGGTCACTCAGCATATGCTCCATGTGCGGGCTCAGCTTTAAATGCTTAAAGTGTTGCATTTCATGTCAAAAACTCTACTCTTGTTGTTTAATTCTCATCACAAATTGAAAATTTGTGCCTAGTCTATCAGTTGTTATTATAAGCTTTTGAACTGTAGTATCCCAATCTCTTAAACGTTGGATGTTTGCAGGATTCTACTCTTGGCGTAATCCGCTGAAAGGCACGTGGTTCATCCAGAGCCTATGTGAGATCCTGGAGAAGGAGGCATTTCTGCACGACCTGCAAACTCTGCTACTGATGATCTCACACAAGGTAGCCCTGGAACACGAGAGCTTCAGTGACCTCTACCCTTGGCAGCATCAGCAGAAGCAGGTTCCGCAGACAGTGTCCACCCTCATACGCAAGGTGCACTTCAAACCCAAGGCTTGATGTTCCCTAATGTTAGACCAGGTATGTTCACTCTCATACGCAAAGTATACTTTAAATTCAAGGTTGCTTCAAGCCCTTTGAATATATAAAAGTTCATTTTTGTTGTTTTTGCCTCCTGATCACAATTTAATTTATTCCTAGAGGTTAAGATACCTTAATCTGTCAATGTGATAACGTCAACGATGAGCAGCGACCAGTTTCATCCCAGCAATGGGTCATCCTACACTTAACCTAGTTCATACTTGGCTTAAAATACCTACCTTCGTATGGTCGCAATTTCAATTAAAAGTATTACAAGTATCCTTAGGCGAAGAAAGAACATAAAATCACTCCAAAGAGGTTGTCAGAAAGTCTAAAAATACGTAATGAAGAACAACTACACTAAAACACATGCGGCCAAAAATCGACTGTGCGGCGTACGGTACACGTACATCTAAATATTCTAAATACAATCTGTCGCTTAGTCGATTTGTGTGTTTTGTAAAAATGTGTTAGGTATCGGAGTGATTTTATGTTCTTCTTCGCCAGAGGATGACCCAATTGATGGGTTGAAACCGGTTGCCGCTCATCGGTGACGTGATCAGGTTGACGGATTTTAGGTATTTTTTTTTTACCTCTAGTAATAATTAAAGTTAATAAAATAAAGATTGGTGTCCAATCGAAATCGATCACCACTTACCATCTTTTTTGTATATTTACCGTCTTGTGTGTAACAGTATAAGCGTAAATATGTTGTAAGTGTTATAAGACGTATCTTTCCGTAAATTTAATAACACGTACAATGCTGATCAAGAAGTTATTTAAAATAAAGTTAATATCTGATCTCATTTGATTTTATATGCCCATGACCTATTCTGTAATCACACTCAAGAGAGAGAGATACAGTAAGGGCTCGCTAATCCGGTACATTTCGGGACTTTGGTGGTACTGCGTTGTAGAAAATGCCGGATTACTGAACATCTAAAAACAGCCGTTATTGCAAGACTAGCTAAAACTCTGTTAGTTTAGCACATGATTAGAAATCGTTGGCCGGCGAGCCATTATTTCATGTTTTTGTATGCTTTCTCTTATTTTAGTTTTTGTATCAAAATCAAATGCTTGGAGTAAATAACATAAAATAAAACGCCCCCAAATTCCATTGAGTGCAACAACTACGTCTTCCGTTAGAATCTGCTGATCGTTTCTGACCACTCCCCATCGCTCATGACATCTGCCAGTTGCTCTTGTTTCTGCCGTTCACTTCCGACTCTGCCAAATGTGGTAATATAGTTTCAAATGTTTAAACTCTCCACACAATATTTCTTCTAGGGTAGGCCTATTCTATGTTTAATAACAGAACGATATTCAACAAAATTTAAACGGCTACAATGAAAGGACTGACAATGGAATGTGGACTAAAGTGGAAGATTAGTTTGAAATTTATGCCTATTAGGTTAAAATTTACAATAGTAATTTAAATGGGCTCTATCTCAGGGGAGGGTGTTAACTGTAATGAATTAAATATTGGAGTTTCTTGATGATGAGATTAATTAATTTAACTTAGATGAAATCTGGGCTTCTTCTTTAACACGTTCAGTGCTGACTACATCAATTGATGTAGTCGCGCGACGAGCGCTCCAACCGGCCTATATCAATTGATGTAGTTGCGCAATCCCCACTACAATAGTTCAGTATGAGCTCAGCCATTGCCGGGGGACGTTAAAACCGTTTCTAGCCTGTAGCTTAGAATGTGAGCTTTATTTTGTGTAGGTTGGTACAAAAATTTCCCGTAAAATCCTGTCTGACAATGCTTTTGTCCCGGTTTCGAGGATTTTCTCTCTTCAAGCCTTATTAGATAGACAATATAGCCTTATTATTAGATCCAGACAGGGCTGCTACCTTTGGGTGTTTTAGGGAAGTACGTGGAATCTCGGGGTAAGGTAGTACAATCACCGCTGCTCTTTTGTTATTCGTGAGATTGAAATGTTTGAATGCCAATTGCGTTCGCTTTTGCGGTACCGCGCCGGGGCTTCGCCCGGGCCTCGCTGCCATGGCGAGCCGCTGTGGAATGCCTGCCACACTTAACGTGTTAACAATTTTAATAATGGCTTCCTTCTCTCTTCATAGTCACTATCTGAATGTTCACATAAGTATATTGTTGAACACATAGTCTGATCACTTCTCACTTGAATTTTTATTCCTTAAGGACTAATTTTGAATTATATTATATGAAATTTTGATAAATTGCAATCCTCTTACAAATTATGTAAGCCCTTGTAATAATGCACAATGTAATAAATACACAAGTTGTGGGCTTTGTAAAAAAATAGTCTATGGAATGGATATTATCAATGATTAATTGAACAGAGATTAATGGAATTGTATAAATAAATTAAATGAATACTAGGCCATTATAGATCTGGATGACTTTCTGAGGAGTGATTAATAAGAAAGAAATTATAAAGTGGGAATTAACAAAATTACCTTTTTTTAAGAAACTTAATACTAAATGATGAATGTATGAAATGAAATATTACAAATAACGAAATAACACACAAAAATGTTTTTAAATCTTTAAACCGATGCCAGATTATCAAACGTGCCGGTACATCTAATGCCTGGTTCGCCTGATTTAATGTATTTGGTTTTAATATACTTAATGAAGGGAGTGAGCTGGCCTAGTCGTAGAGCACGGCCACCTTTAACTACAGGCCGCGGCGTTCGAAGTGGCAACACCGCATGGGATGGCTAATGCTACGCTAAACCATTGAACGCTCGCGCTCGTGCCGCGGAGGATTGGAACAAGCACGCAAATTATCTATTAATTTTGATGTTTTATATCTGGCAACACTGATGTGTAGGAAAAGAAAGAAGGCTTTCGTGTCGATACAAGAATATAATACAATATTTATTAAAACCTTTTACGATACATTGAACATACAAGTATTAGGCCTATAATTGTAGTTTTCTTCCGTCTCTTCTACGTATCTACTCTTTGATTTATTATTTGTTAAATACCTAAAATTTAAATCCTATTTACAATGTTATTTAGTTACAGCTTCTATGTAAGCTATTGTTTTATCAATTATTAGAATAATGACGTTTACTATACAAAGTATAAATTAACAAAAGCAATAACTAAAATTATTTCATTCAAGAAAGGATTGACATTTTTATATGGTTACAGTGGCTATTATTTTGGTCTTTTTATACTTTCGTGTAGTTATTCAACAAAATTCTCAAAATAATTTTTGACACTATTTCCTTAAAATTTACTCCACAAATACATGCAGTTTCAGCTATTTCTGAAATATTGATATCTGACATAAAAACCACTGTCACTAAAAACCAGCCAACACAGAAGAACAACTGCACGCTAATTATACATGTTGTCGCTGATTTTAGTTATTCACTAATTCCACCTAAATCAATCAAGATGGTGGTCGCCACGCAGCTATTGGTTGATGAGCGCTAAATTAAAAGTTTACGCTAGCCCCGCCTTCCGATTGCCTATTGTAAGAATATTGTCAATGGATTAGTTATCAATGGTGGCGCAATAACAGAATGAATGATGTAATATCTTTATTTCTCCTAATACTGCATAATAACGTGTAAATAAACCACATACTTAAACTTCATAATAAACTACAGTTAAATTATTAAAACTAAAAGGAAAAGGAATTTCTGTTTTAGGCTTCCGTATTTAAATATAAAGACATTAAGTCGTGCAGTGTGCACCGTGTACGTGTAAGCTTGTTGGTTGGATTGTAGTAAATAGTTAACCTGTCTTCAAAATGTATTCAATGCTGTAAATGTATTCTGTTGGCTGTAATAATATTACCTATCACGGGAAAATATAGGGAACACTGGTAGAGCTTTCAGTTATAACTGAACTTCTGTACTGGTTGGGAATGTATGTATATTAACACGTTCGCTACTGAGCATCGCATATATGCGACGCCGCGGTCATTGCCACAGACCGAGGTATACATTTGAATCTTACACATAGACCGGCTGTCACTTGGATAACACTTGGTACACACAGACCACGGGAAAAAACCTGTAAAACAGTGATCATTTACATTGTAATACGCTACAATCGTGTTTGTAAATAAATTATTCTTGTTTTTTTGTACTTTTTATAACCTTTTGTAATGTCGCATATTTGCGACGCCCGGTCTACAGCGAAGACAATAGTGAAAATTATCATAGTTTTCTTGAAATAGACTAAACGTCGCATATATGCGACAGTTCTTTTTTTGTGTTTTAAGGTGAAAGTAAGTAAAAAAATAAACAGATTATTCAAGACCAGTTTATAACTGAACAAATATAAAAGCTACATAGGATAATGCAGCATACATACTGCATACATATATACAGTGATGCAGAAAAGTAAAGACCAGTTTTTCCAACTATTATATGACGTCACCAATCATCATATCCACAGACCAAGCAACGCAGTTGTGTGTCAGACATCTCTGTAGACCACTGCAGGGTATTCAGTGCCTTCAAATAGACCACTACAAAGATATAAGCATTTTAATAACATTAGAACCCCGACGCAAATATGCGTCGGCAGTCTATTTTAATGTGAATGGCCGTCGCATATATGCGACGGCAGTCTATGGGTGGAAACCGGCCGTCGCATATGTGCGTCGCTGGTCCATGTGAATGGAAAATTTCGTACTATTGCAGTAGCGAACGTGTTAAAGCAATATTTGATACAAAAGTAATATTCTTGAGGATAACTAAAAGGCATATCAATCTGCTTGAAATAATTCAGTTGGCCTAAATTAATTATTAGCTATGCAATACTACACTACAGCTTGCAGGCAGCGCTACTTGCCGCGCCGCTACATAAAACCGAGATTTGGTCGCTCTGTTCAACCCAAAATTTTAACAAAACTAAGCATGATAGAAAGAAAAGTTAAACACGAACAGTTAAGTATATTTAATTATCTACAAATTTCTCACAGACGAAACTTCTCTGACCAACAAACAACAATTTTAGTACACGACTTTACTTTTCCAAACTTTTTCTAATGTGTTAATTTTAAAAATATTTATATATACTACCAAATGAAATTTTAATTATAAAAACCATAATATTGGCATGAAGGGTTTATTCCCTAGCTCTGTACCAAATTTCAAAATTTTATCTCAATTGTAAGGGTGTAAAATTGCAGTATATTTAAACCGCGACCCCACTAGTTCCGTACTACCGTAATGGTGAAACGGGCGAGAGTTAATGCTTGGTGCGACGTTGCCAATTCTCCCTGATCGCGACCTGTAGTTAAAGGTGGCCGTGGGTAGAGTGTAGGACTTTGGTCCCCGAAGTCCTGGGTTCAAATCCCGCCAAACACCAATGGATTTTATCTAAATAATAGTGCTGTGACCTCCACTAGACCTAGTCTGAAGTAATGTGAAAAACAATTCTGAGCCAAAAAATTTAATAAACCCTATTTCTAATGATTTTTCTTGTTTAGGAAAATACAATTTTTTAAATGTTTATCCGTAAGCATGAAGAAAATGTATTTTTCTACAGTCACCCGACAAGGGTGATTATAGTACCTTGGATTATAGTACAGAAAGCTGCTAGTTGCTGCATTTACTTACTTTGCCTCACACTTTTTACTTTGTCACACAGTTTTTACTTTGTCACACAGTTTTTACTTTTTGTCACACAGTTTTTACTTTGTCGCACATCAGTATCCCAACCAAACAACACAAAAAAGCGTGCTTTTATTATGCATGTCATACGTGCACACTAGGAAATAGGTTGGCACCACTTAAGGGGAGCTGAACCTAAAAATTTTTAATTTAAAAAAAAAATTTTTATTTTAGTTTTAGATTCTTTGTTTTATCCTGAAAAAGAAAATATATATATATTAATAGGTATCACCTCCCAAAACTAGAAAAAAACAAAAAACAAAGTAAAGCACCAAATTTTCTGAGCATAGGGAGTAGACCTAGTAAGGCCATCTAGTGGCCTAGTAGTGTCATCTTTGTTCGCGACTTTCCGAAAACTTGTTTTTTTAATGATAAAGGTACACTTTTCTCAAGAAGTAATAAACATATCTTGATGAAATTTTTACCAAGTGTACCTTACATCACTACAAATATGTGGAACTAGAATTATCACCATAGGATCAATAGTAAAAATTACAAAAATAAAAAAAAATAGAATTTTTCAAAAATTTAAAAAAATAAAATTTGTAACCATAGAAACATAATTCTAGTTCAACACACTCTTGAAGCACATATATTAACTGTCTACAATTTCTAAAGCTGTAGGTTAAATAGTTTCCGAGAAAAATTTACCTAAACTTGGGGAATTTAACATGGGCTCTTATGGGCGGTTCAGCTCCCCTTAAAGATATTATGACTACGATCAGCTGTTGCAGGGTTTCCCATTTTGTTCAAAAACGCTTTGTTTGACTAATTATTTCTAAGCTTTATAATAACTGTAGGAAAAATATAATGTGTAACACGAGTGCAAATTGCCTTTGCTGCACTCAAGAAACTTTCCTAAACATTTCTCTCGTGTGCAGCAAAGTGCCACTTTGCCCACTAGTTAACAAATAACTATTGAAAAACTTTTTTTGAAATTGTGTTCTTAAATGAACAGGAGTGAAACTAATGTTTAAGGTTTATTTTATTGTCATATCATGGTTTACCTGTGGTTTTAGTTTGATTTAGGCTTCATCATTGTCGATGTGTTGCAGAGTTCTGCTGCAGAGGTTATTCTTCACACTTATGCTAGCTGTGCTGCTCTTGAAGGCTTCACTTCTGTTTAAGTGTCCAAGCCAACTTTCATTACTAGCCTTTCTTACATCGAACACACCTGAAATCAGTTCTTCTGTCTTTGTTACGGTTTGCTTCCTGTGGTTTGTTTTCAATGAATATCTTACAGCTTTTTCTACTACATGTAGTTATAGTTTGACTTTGTTATCTTTTTAAAACCTCTTTTAGATGGTGTTCTACATTATATTCTCCAGCATTGAATTATCTCCCAAGTGCTAAAAAAAGTATCTACTTCATAGCATTGAATTATAAATCCCTGTATTATGGTGGATTTGATATATTTATCACATTACTAACGTTTCATTACTATTCAAAAACTTAACATTATGAAACCCTACACCAGATTTTTTTGGGCTTGCAATGAATGAATTACAAGCTCCTTTTTTACTCATGAAAAATCTTAATAAAAGTTTAAGGTGCTAGAAGTGTTCAATAATTTCCACCCCAATTTTTGTATTTTACTCTGGGATTAAAGTCACCAAGAGTGAATAATGTGTGTGTATCCATTGACAGGAGAAATTGTCTGACAATTGTATACACCCTGTTTCTTGTTTAAGACTTTTGGACACCTAAAATGTATTGATAATATATGAAGTCCCTTGGCATGATAAATGGAAATGTTATTTTAAATAATATATTTGGGCTGACAACAAGTCTTGATTTGCCTAATTTTATGTATTTCTTGATTCAACAAAAGTTCAGGGATACTTCCGGTGTGTTCATGTGTATTATTTACCTTAAGTTTTTTTTATTAATTTTTACCATATCAGAATAGTTAAATAACTGAAATATGTTTATTTTTGGTTTTAACTTAATGTTCTCTTAAAATGTTGAGTACCCAGTTTTTAAATTTGAATCTGTAAATCAAACAAAGCCTTCCTATTATAACTGGATGGTTTCAAAGTATTCTAAATTTAAATTAGAAGATGACATTAAGAAATCATTGCTATTTTGGCCTAAAGCTAAGCAATCAGTATATATTTTTTGTATAACAATAGATTAATTTGTATGGTTATTGGATGTTTTACTACATGTAGTTGTTGTGTAGTAAATGTTGTTCCAGATGTATGAAGCATTTTCTACTGCCAGAAACATGTCTTTCACTAAATGTGCACTTTTATATTTACAAGCTTGGCAATATTATATTTTAAATTTTAAAGAGTTAAGGTTTAATGTGTTTTTTTAATGAACTTAATCAATTTTGGTTCATATGAAAGTAGTTATAAGTTTAGAGTAATTTTGTATTTGACTAGAATACTTATTTTGAGAAATAAAGAGTTAACACCAAAAACTGCCTCATGAAAAATATATTAATAAAATGAAAACATTTATGTTAGTTACAAAAAAAAACAACAATTAATATAATGGATTATGTTAGTAAAAAAAAATATTCTGGGTAAATTTTTATATTTAGGATTGATTACAAAAAAGATTCTCTCAAAAAAGTTACCATAAGTACACTGTTAACTAAAGTAATCTATAAACAAAATAAACACTTGTTGTGAATTTGTATGCAGACAGAAGGTTTGTTTTTATCAGAAACAACTTAACAATTATATGTACTTTAAATGATCTCATAACAGTCTAAGAAAGTGAGGTGGTCTACTGAATTGTACAGTTTTAAAAAGAATTGATCTGTAGGAACATGATGGACCAAAAGCCTTTCAAACTGTTCCTTGTATTAAATGTGAATAGATTGTGTGACAAACGTTGATCTCTATTGCTAGTGCCAGTTCTGTGATTGAAATGATTTTGTTGTAAACCATTTGTTGCTAGAATAAATTCTAGTGTGTATTTTTTTGCTTAGAGTATTAGTTTATCTTCAACGACATGCTTTAAACTAAAGGGTTTAAATTCAAAATCATCTTAAGCGTGTCACTGCCATTTTTGACTGGTCTAAATGTAACCAACATTTTTAAAATTGGAGGATGGTGAACAATCAATATAAATTAAAACATTAATTCAAAACTATATGCAAATTTTTCAGTTGTATTGGATTTACTATTGGATTAAAGAGTAAATTTTACTTTAATATCATCTGGCTCAAACAAACATGGATGAGAAGATAACCTAGTGCTCTACCAACAATGTGAACAAAACCATTTCTTAATTATTTGTCTTGTTTATGTTCATTTACTTAAACTTGTTTTTCTAGTTGTAAGTAGATCAGTGTTATGTTGTTTTACTCGTTCTAAGAAATAAATATTTAGGGCCTACATTATTAGCTTTATAAACTTTAGCCATGAAAATAAATGAAAAAGGTTTCAATTAATTATAAACTGGTATCTGATTATCTCAATACTAATAAAACTTTTAAATGTGATTTGCACTCGATCAAATCATGGCTAAAGTTTATGTACTTTGTTTTAAGGATATATCATTATGATATTTTACCTTATTTGGTCTCATATATTAAGTGAATTTATAAATAATCCAAATACAGAGTAGAGTAGATTTTATCTTACCCTTAAGCTTTGTAAATAAGATTGCCTTTATAACAGGCAAATATATAATCATCATACTCGATATATTTAGCTCAGAGATCTGATCGGGATGAATTCAGTGTTTATTCATGTCATAGTTTGAGAGGTGGGTTGCACTCGTGTAGCTGTTTCTCTTCAAACATGATGATTTGTCCCTGGTCTCTCTCTGAGCTCTCGTGCTGATCACCATTGCTCAAGTGCAAGGAACCAATGTCTTTCATCTGCATTGCCATTTTCCATAGATTTTTACACAATTTTTTACTCCTATTTTCAATGACCTTCTTGTTTGCTCAAAGCTTTGACTGATGCGATTGATTTTTGCAGAAATGAATCTTAGTTTGCTAGAAAGTGATTTGAGATAAAACTTGCCCTACTATTAAGGTTGTGTAATTAGCTGTCCTTAGGTTCAAGATCTCTTCTGAATTTAAATATTTAATTTGGAATTTCTTATTCATTGCCCAGCATATGTCGGTATAAAGTGAATTATGAAAAATGTAATTCAATGTAATAAATCAGACTACGGTACTTGTAGTCTTAACAGCATTTCAGATTGAAAATTAAGATATGATTAAAAAATGTTCATAACTATCAGCTTTGATATTGTATTAGGTAGTTGATCTGTGTATATTTCTTTCTTTGTCAAATGATCTCTTACTGACATTAGCCATTTATACTCTGTATTTTTAGCTTGTTTACTCCTATATATTTTGATTGATACTTTCTTTTTCAAGTCTCTAATTTCTATATAAGTAGGCAGTAACGGAGAGATATGTTTACATAAAGTTCACTGTGAACATGAGCATATTTTAGTCAATAAATAAGACTTGGTTGATACATGGAAAGAAGCTGTTTGTATTATTGTTGTGTTGTTACATAATTTTCATGCATTTTGTGTTATTTTGCATGATGATTTTGTTGTATCAGTTACAGATTTGTAATAAATATCAAATTATATGTGTTTTTAAGAATTCTTTACTCTTTTATTTCACTATTACATATTAGGTGATGGGTATTTGTCAACAACTCTAATCTATATGATACCAGAACGCCCCCTTTAACCCTCCCAGTGTTACTTGACGAAAATTCGACAAGCAGCACACTTTGTGTAGTGTTACTTGTCGATTTTTCGACACGCAGACATCGTTTACGGCGAAGGCTCTATGACTGACTGAATCGGATTGAACTGGATCGAGTTAGGTATCGTTCTTTCTGTTATATTCTAAGCTTTCTCCAGAGGTTTGTCTCAGCGCTGTATGTTCTCCGAGCCGATCGTAATTGTAGCAGACAGCTGACGTGCGTGTATTTGTAAACAGCTAGGTTACCCTCGGACCGATGACTGATGTGTTTTATTACGTTTATCATTGTTTTAGTGTTAAAAATCAAAAGTAGTGATATACGTGGTGCATTATAAGAAGATTTAAGTGGTTTTGAAGTGCTGGTTGATGATCCTGAAGAAGTAGGTAGTGATATTGATGTAAATTATCAGCCAGATTCCTAGCTATGGTTAGGCTATGCATTCTTAGCTAAACGCTATGTACTGAAATCTGTTTTTTGCCCATAACTTATTTATTTGCAAATCTACTTCCTTATATTATTATATATTTGTAATCCTCATAAAATGTAGAACAAAGTGGCTATTTTCAAATATTTATAGGCCTATAATTTATACAATTTCATTGAGCGCAAACCTATTTTTTTTTTCAATTTTTCCAAAATAATTTTTTTTTTACCTAAAAATTTTTTTTGAAACAAATATTCCTTATGTTTTATGTATGATATTGAAGCCCATGATTTTCCAAACAAAATGGTATATAGAACATTAGAATTAACATTGTTTTAAGCTTCTCAGATCCGTTTTAATAAAACCTTGCAAATGCGCCAAAAATTGGTGGACATTAAGGCCTAAACTATGGACACTTGGAGGGTTAAAGAATGTTTCATATTTCAAGGAACATTAATTGAGCGGAGCGAGCGAAGCTCTTTGGGATCAACTTCAATGCAACAAATAGAGAAACATCACTCAATAACGGCTGAACGCATTTCAGCCAAACTTAACAAAATTACTTAGATAGTGAGATGGTTTTTAAACAAACAAATTTCAATTAGATAATGCTAAGTTAATGCAATTTAAAACAAACTTAAAATTTCCAATTTTTAACATTAGGCTAATGGGACTAAAGTAGCCATGACAGGTTTTTTTGTTTACAAGAAAAATGTAAACAAGAGAATCATAAGGTATTTCTGAACTTTCTAGACTATTCTTTTAAACTTTTTTAAACCATTTCTATGATCTTAATAAACAAGAAAATACCGTTAAAACATTTTTTTAAGGCGCGGAATTCACTGCAAATCGAGAAAATATATGGAACTACTTTCTCAATGCGCGGAGCATAAACAAGGAGCGGAGGGATACGGACCGGTGACTACTTTCTTGGGAACCTATTGTGTTGCCAGATGATTAGAAACAGCCAATGTTAGAAATCAGGATTTAATAAGCCATATATCGAACCGCATCGAAATCGATATTTAATCCGATAATACCGAATACCTCACAGGTTATATTATGTTGAATTACATCAACGGTGCAGTAAGTTATTACACTTATTAATAAAACGCAGATTGAACACTGATTTAATTTAGACATGTGGGGAATGTAGATGTGAATTTTAATCGATAAAACCATTAGTAAATAAATCTATTGACTTTTTTACATTAAGTTACTTATACAAATATCAAATCACGTTTGTTCCGCTCAACTGGCTTTCACCTTCTGAAAGCAACCCTAGTACATATTTGTCATAATGATTTAGTGTGAAATAATGTTACATTATTTCACACTAAATCATTATGACAAATATGTTTATTTAGTTTTTTTCTTATTTCCAAGGAATTGTTTGTATCTAACATCCCAGATCATCTGATGAATGAATCACTTGATATGTTTATATCTTAATGAAGTAATGGCAGATTTCCTTTGATATTCTCAGCTACATAACCTTTGCACTGTGACCTCACTAGGAGATAACTAATATGTTCTCAATAATACTCCCTGCCTTGAGCTATTTAGACTGTTTCTACTCCCAATGCAATATATGTGTTGTGAAATATGGTAATTTGAGTGAAAAATGAATTCTAAGTGCATCATTGTGTTTATAGGATTTGTGACACTGGTATTAGGGGTAAGTTTGACAAATTTATTGTAAATAAGATTAACCCCGACCAGTTGCTCTTTTGCCCTGTTTTTCCAAAGTTTTTGAAAAAATTGTGAAAACTCAACTTACAGATTACTTGGAACAAAATAATTTACTAAATCCATCTCAGTTTGGTTTCCGCTCAAAATCCAGTACTGAAAAGGCTATTACCAGGATGATTAACTGCATTGCGGAGGCCTTGGACGGGTCGCAGCGCACAATAGGGGTGCTGTGTGACCTGTCCAAGGCTTTTGACTGTGTTGATCATGGTATATTGCTAGAAAAATTAAGTAGACATGGAATAAAAAATGTGGAATTAAAATGGTTCATTTCATATTTTAAAAGCCGTAAACAAAGAATCATATTACAGAAATGCCAAACCAAATATAAGTCAGAGTGGGGTTACACACCCTACGGAGTTCCTCAAGGTTCCATTCTTGGACCTTGTTTATTTTTAATTTATGTAAATGATTTATGTAATGTTACAAAAATGCATACTTTTCAATATGCAGATGATACTGCTTTAATCTGCACCGAACAAAAAACATTGGATTTTAAGCAAGACTTAATTACTAATGAGTTTCAACTCCTCGGGGACTGGTTCACAGTAAATGGTCTATCTATGAATGTGTCAAAGACACAACTAATTCACTTTTCAGTTGCTAATGAGAATAGAGACATTGTAAATTCAAACCAAACATCAATATATTCTCAAAACTCAGTTAATTACCTTGGAATTATCAATCAATCAAGAAATTTATTTACACAATAATTGCCAATACATAGGATACAAAAGTGCAAAAACCACAAATGGTTTGTCTGCACTAAAAATATTGTTTCTTATTTACCATACAGTTTTGTCAGTTAGAATCAGTAGCATGCAGTTTTATAAGTTCTTAATTGTCTCTTGAGTAATTAATAACAAAAAAAAGACAACAAAGACACAAATATCTGTAAAAATTCAACAGTAACAATAACAAATAAACTATTGGAATAAATAACAATAATATATTACTTTAACTTCAACTAAAAATGTAAATAAATTAAATGCATAATTGTAATAAATTAAAATTGTAACAAATCATTCCAAACATGTTCCTTTAAATAATGTTTAATCATGCTATAACTATTTGCAAAAACCATATGATTTGTGAGGTTATTAAAACATTTGGGAACAAAAACTTCAAGTGTTCTACTTCCATACTTATTCCTGTGCTTTGGTACAAAATAATAATTCCTTCTAACATCATATGGGTGATTATTGACTATTTTCAAGCTGTCATCAAATAAATGATCAGTGGATATCAAAAAAATATATAACTTACTAACAGGTAGCAGTCTAACAAAATGAAAAATCTTTATAATTGGTAACTGCTTAATGTGCACTGGAACAATACATTTGAGCGCTTGCTCCTGCAGATGCTCAATTTTCCTCAGAGAAGTCTTTGAAGCATTGCCCCATGCTCTCACACCATATCTTAATATTAATATTAATATTAATATTGATTCACACAATGACTGGTAAATCACCAATAGCTCATTAAATGGCAGGACACTTTTTAAATAAAAAATTTTGCAAACACATGATCTGATTTTTTTACAAACATAATTAACATGTATATCCCATTTAAAATTGTGGTCAACATGAACCCCTAAATATTTAAAATCATGCACATTCTCTAAACTCTTACATTGACAACTTTTTGGGATAAGTGAGTAAGTATGATTATGTAAACAATCAAAATTATGGTAAGTAATGCTTACATTAGAACATTTAAATGCAGGTGAATGCACATGCATGACCTTGGACTTTTTGTCATTTATTACCAATCCATAATCATGACACCATTCTAAAAGGTTGTTAACAGCATTCTGCATATTTTTTTCTGCCTCTATTATATTTTTGTTTGATACAACAATTGCAGTGTCATCAGCGTACATAAAAACCGTGGCTTCTTTTATATATTTTGGGAGTGTATTTGCATATATTATATATAAGATTGGGCCCAAAATACTTCCTTGAGGTACCCCAGAAAAAAGTTCTGCCTCTTCACTAAATGTACTATGCACTTTTACAATAATTTTTCTGTTTTTCAGATAGTCTCTAAACCATTCTAAAAACCTGCCAGAAATTCCTATGTCCTTGAGTGCTATCAATATTTTATCAAACTGCAGTGTATCAAAAGCTTTAGTAGAATTGATATAGATTGGCAACTTAATTGGCAAATAAACATTAAGAATCTATCAAAGAGACTCAGATCAGCTATACTTGTTCTTCGGGTAATTCGACATACTACAAATTTAGACACACAATTAGCAGTATACCACGCTTATTTTTCTTCCATTATGAATTACGGTTTAACGGTATGGGGTTCTTCTAGTCATGCCGAACAAATTTTTATCCTCCAAAAAAGAGCAGTTAGAGTCTTAGCGAAAGTGTCTCGAATTACTCACAGTAAAGAGTTTTTCATTCAGTTTAAAATTCTTACTTTGTATAGTTCTTATATCTTTAAACTAGCTTTAATGGTTAAAAGTGATTTTGACACATTCATGGAAGATCAACATGCCCATCCTCACAACACTAGATTAAAAAAAATATAAAACCAGTTCAACACAGACTTAAAGTATTCCATTTATCTCCTCAGTACATGGCCCAAAAATATATAACAAATTACCTTCTTCAATTAGGGACACTGATTCATTCCCTAAATTAAAAAAGAAGTTAAAAAACTTTCTTTTGGAGAAGGCCTTCTTCTCACTGGAGGAATATATGGAAGCTGTGTAGATATTTAAGGCTCAGCATATGAAATTTATTTTAGTAATAATTTTAGTATAATAGAGACTATAAAATATTGTAACAATGACGAATCACCTGTCTGAATATGATGTTATGTGATTATTGGAAAATAAATAAATAAGATTAACCCCGCCGCAGCAAACCTGCAGACTAAGCAAATTTCAACTTGTCTGATTACATTTTCACTCAAATATTTCCATAAATAAGACATATTTATTCCTAATTTAAATAAAATTAGATTTAACAAGTGATTAGGTTTGCTGCTACGGGGAAGGTAAACAGTGTTTTTTGAACATACGTCAATAGTATAGGATGAAATAAATAAATTTTATTAATATACTAGCAGTTACCCGGCGTACGTTACTGCGCTAACAACTATTATTTTAAATGGTAATTTGTTCTTTACAATCTATATCTTTATATATTTTTTATTAGGTGTATAAATTAAGTTTTTACTTTGATTAAGGTTTTTATGTTTTATGTTTACATATTTAATACAGTAGGGGAGAATTGAAACGTTGAGTGCACAGGTGTGCTGCGATTGTGGTTTAATATAGTTGGACTTATCTAAAAGTAAAATAGTTTTCTGTGCTGCATTCTGTGGAAACATTGTGGCACTATTCCAAATCATGACTAATACAGAATTTTGTGATTATTAAAACCAACAGTTGGTGAAAGTAAATATCTGCTTTTAAATTATATTTATTTGTAAACATTGTAGCTCCAAAAGTCTGACATTGGACCCCTTAAAACCCTCTGGGGCGGAGCCCTTTTGACGGATCTGCACCAAACTTCACACAAACCATTCTTGAATAATGTTTAGTAATGCCTGAAAGTTTCATTACAATCTGTCGAGCGGTTTCGTAGTCCACAAGGTACATACATATATACATACATACATAGTTCCTCTTTTATAGATATAGATATCCATAAAGAAGTAAACTACAACAGTTATCATATTCTCCATAAAAATAACATTAGAATTTAAAATTACACTCTTTTTGAATGTTTTCCATGACCGTTAGGCATACAACAGGGCTTCAATATACTAAATTATTTAATTTTTTAAGCTCTACAAAACGTTTTTAAAAAGAAGTTTTTTGTTTTTAGGATAAAAAATGGGAAAATTCCATTTTTACCCCATAAAACCCCCATAAACCCCTGTTCCCATGGTTGTATTATGCTGGTTAGCGAACTCGTTCAAATAAATGTAGGTTTACACGTTTGTACCAAATTTAATCAAACTCTGATCATTTTTCATCCAGTTATCGCGCTAACGGACACATATATATATAAATGAATTTGAGCAGATGGTGCTTTTGGCCTCTAGGGACCTCAAAACGAAAAATAAAATCGGTCCCGGGTCCAGAGGCCTTACCATGAGTACTATGTTAATAGCTTATTCCTTATATGGGAAATTCGCTAAAAAGCTATAAAAAGTAAAAGCTGTGAAAGGTTAAACTTTACAAAGTCTGAGTCATCTTATTATGAACTTAAACATCATATTGAGCTTTTTACTTTAAATTTGGTAATTGTTTGTCCTCATAATTTACAGTAGAGTGAGAATACAAGCAAGAAAAAGTTTAGTTGATATTAGTTCAGATTAGGCAAAAGATTTTTTTTAAGTTTGACTAATTTTTAAAATATACAATATTAGTAGGATCCAATGATAAATGTGCAAAATAACTTGAACTTTCTGACATTAACAATTTTACATACATTTCTTCGCTTTTGTTTTGACTGTCCCAAAAGGTGACACATTGACCACTAGGTTTATCATACAACTAAATCCACCAATACTTTATACTTTATTCTGAAATGGGGACCATACAAATGTAGGTATTTTAAGATGTATTAAATGTGTGAATGGAGATGAGTGTAGGATGAGTGGCGCGGTATTGTAGTCTTGTTAGTGACCAAGGCCGACATCCTCCTTAGACACAGCTGTTAATTAACAGCCCATCGAGCCAATTAAATACCAAAAATACGAAAACGTTCAAGATAGAGTAATACCCTTGCCATGGCAAACCTGCAAATTAAGCAAATTTCAATACCTTATAAATTTCAATTTCCTTAGATTTATCGAGTACTTAGGTATGCTGCTACGGGGAAGGTAAAAAGCGTATTTTGATCAAATGTTTATAAGTTAATAGGCCTATTGGATCAAATAAGTAAATTTGCCAAATTTCATCAAAATTTATCCATAAACAAGCAAACCACAACAGTTTTGCTTTACTCCATAAGAATAACATAGAAATTTTAAATGTATTGTTATTTTGATTTTCTCTGTGACCTTTACTTGTACATGAACGCTTTAATTTATAAAATGGTGTAAATTAATCATTTTAATGAACACCCCATGTATGTATGTATAAAAACGTTTGAACGAATAGAGTTTTTGATCTTTTGGGGATATCGAAGTGAAAAAGTAAATCGGTCTCGATCTAGGTCTTACCGTGCCACCCCTATATTAAATTAGCTATAATATTAATTGCTATTCTTTAGCAACAATGTGTTTCAGAACAAAATGTCCAGTGGCGGATCCAGAGGGGGGCAAAGGGGGCGACCGCCCCCCCCCCCCTTGGGCATTCGAAATATATTTTTTTTTACTGCATGTAATACAGTAGTGCATACACATTGCGTAAAATAATTTGTCACACTAACTTAGGACAAAGAAATGGTATAAAACTGCCATTTTGGAGACTTGGTTTACACCAATTTTTCGGGGGGGTGACCCCGAACCCCCCAGACCCCCCGGTTCGCCCCCCCCCCTTGTGACTGTGTTAGATCCGCCACTGAAAATGTCTGAGAAAATTCAACATAAAACCTAAAGATTATATCAATTATATAAATTATTTAAGATGGGGACGACACTATGTGTTGTATTTTAAGCCAAGTATGAATGGAGATGAGTGTAGGATGAGTGGCGCGATCTTGTGGTCTTGTTAGCTACTAAGCCCTACAGCTATTGGCAACTAAGGAACCTACAGTTTATAGTGGACTCTGAACCACATTTTTTCCTTGGTATTAACGAATAGGTCTAATTATCAGGATAGTACTACAGATAGTCGTAGTAGGCCCTACTCACTAGTGCGGACGTTAATCCAGGGAGTATCACATCCACAGTGCATGCCTATAAATATCCACAATTCGAGACCTCCTAGTAGTTATGGATTACAGGACGACGCCACCGTCCCAGTGTCTTATAATATATAAATATAATCTATATACAAGATAATCTATAAAACAGTTTAAATATCCTGATGATGTTAATTCATGACATCATAAGATTCATATGGCTTTCTATGTGATTTCCATAAAAATGAATCTGATAGCCTTCTTGGTTCTGATTACTGGTAGAAATAATTGTAACTTGTTTTTTTAAACACAGATATCATCTTAATCATTTAGATCATTCCCTGATTTTTTTTTATAATCTTGCTCTTAAAATAACATCAATGAAAAAAAAAATAATTGAAGAAAATTTTACTGTTGATCAACTGTTGACTAGTTGACTGTTGAAACCCTTAGTGATTGGAAATAGTATATTACGTTACTAGTCCTGAAAATAAGTGTTTACCGGATGAGTGTGGTCGTTCCCGTGCGAGACGAAGTTGAGTACGGGATTACCATACGAGTCCGGTACACACATTTTGGACGAGTTACGTACGATAGTTTACGCCATACTATTTAATCCGTACAAATCCTTATATATTACCACCTAAAGGACTAAAAATCACTAGTCATAACCTCTGAGAGAGGTTATGGAGAGGTTATGTTTTTGTTTATAACCACCAATTGCCACGCAAATACAGTATAATCAGCTGATTGGTGTCCGGTAAAACGGTAAAACTCATACAGTACAGTAGTACGCAATAAAACCCCATTTGATTAAGCTGGCGGCAAACAGCTGTTTTCTGGACTAAATACTTGCGTGGGAAGTTCGTCAAAATGATGTAGTGTGGCGTAAAATATTTTTAGGCTGTCTTAATTGATCCGGGTAGCTAGTTGTACTGCCCACAGTCTTTTGTTTAGCTGCTCGGAAATGTTCATATTTGTCTATGCCACTCGGATGGGGATGGTACTGGTCAATATAGAAAACACTCTCAACACTTTAAATACCTTTAGCCATGGTAAAAAAAAAAAAACATGTGTCTTGTATACAAAATGGTGTATACTTTGCTGGCTGCTTGGTCGTGATACCTCATGGGCAACATTGAAATTTAAATACTTTTCATTGAAATGGTGACATGCAGAGCTGATGGGAAAAGCCACCATGATGGCTGCTGACCCATACACATAAAAAAGACAGCCAGTGGATAAAGGCGGGTTTTCCTAGCTCCTAACAGATATTCAACTGCAGAGTTGGTTAGAAGTTGGTTTTTAGCTCTCTAATATCCAAAATTTGTCTCTTTTTCAAGCATTCTTGAAATGTGGATTTGCGGCAATCCACATAATCTCATGTTACACAACTAGTTCTATTAATTGTCTGTTCTCAGACAAAGAAAATTTACTTCTCTTTGACTTGGTAAATGGCAAGAAAACCAATTGAACATGTCTTAGTCTAAAGTGCAATTTTGTGAATTTTATACTTCAGATCTTTTAATAACCAAACTATAAATGATCAAACAAAATAAAGTTATCACAAATCTACTGTCCTGACTGAAAACCACCATAATTCTTCAATGCACATTAAACCGCCGAATGTAATCTATGACGCTGCGGGGTGACGGTCTTACTTCTGCCGAAGCAGATGCCTGTCTGGCATCTCGCTGCATAATACGGTCCCTGCCGAATTTGGCATCAAGAGAAACACCAATATCTGACTCTTGTATGTTGAGCTCGTGGCGGAAAATGGAGTAATTTTGCCAACTAAGAAAACCGGTTTATAGAGATAGCTGATTTTTTAACAATTCCCTGCTGTTTATGTCAAAGAGGTAGCCAGTACAAACGGTTAACCGGGCGCAAATAATCAGTTGGTTGGTTTATAATGTCTTAACAAAACGTTGTAGTAATTGTAAATATTAAAACTTAAGAAACACATTATACACTTAACAGATCTATGACTTGGAACAACCATCTACAAAGCCTCCAAGGCACAGAGAAAATTTGCCGTGGCCTTCCCGCCCCGAGTACCCTTCCAGAGGAGTGAAGACTTCACCCAGAGATTATGTTGCTACACCTGCTGCTGCTAGCACCAGAGATTATGTTGCTACACCTGCTGCTGCTAGTACCAGAGATTATGTTGCTACACCTGCTGCTGCTAGTACCAGAGATTATGTTGCTACACCTGCTGCTGCTAGCACCAGAGATTATGTTGCTACACCTGCTGTTACTGAGTCTAATAGGGAACAACCTGCAAGACCAATCCCTCAAAAGCTCAGCAATGCTGAAGGCGCACCAAAGTTGCCTGCAGCATTGTCAACGGTTTGTATAGGCAAAACAATTCCTCTTAAACATTGCTTATAGAATGAGTTTATTTTTTTTATTTTTTAAATAATTGAATATGAAGATTGAATAGTTCAGGATATTGGATCAATACTAACAAATTTTAATTTATTCGTTGTAGTAGGAAACATTTATTTCACATCATTATCATCAAGCTCAATAAAACACTCGCAATGTTAAAAATTGACAATTGATTAGTAATCAGTAGGCTACTAAGGTATGGTGTATACTTCTGAGCTAATTTAGAGTGGGTCATCAATAACTTGTGTTTTGAGCTTTGTAGTTTGATACTGCATCACATCATCATACTCTTATAAGAACCGCCAAATCAGAGGGTGTAGTTACTGTATTACTGGGGAAGGAGAGATGGGATTTTGAGTCACAATGAATCACACTTTCCTTAGGCTCTAAACAAAAGACGCCTGTAACAAACCTACCCAGGTGTCTCCATTCTCTGTATACATATTCAGTTTAAAATGTATGCCTAGGTGTGCGTTGCCGACTTAATTTCAAGAGTTGATTGAATGATTGATTTTAATATTACATAGGTGCCAATAAAGAAGATCGGTACTCATCTACAGTACATACACATGATATACTATTATGTTCATATATTCATAGTTCTTGATACTCACAATATTAGTTTGGTCATTGTACCCTTTAGGATAGGCAGAAGGAGAGGGGGGCTAAATGGAGTATTTAGTTATCCTCTAGAAAAATGCAGTAACCATGTGGGAAACATTTCTAGGGATCAGTTTTCTTTTAACATGAATTATAACAATGCACTATGCAAATCAAAACTCTATAAAGTGGAGTGTAGATGGGGAAAATAGAGATCACAAGCTGCTGGCTGCAAATACTTGCGCATATGCGTTAGGTACCCTTATAGACAAGGTAAGTGAAACTGGCAGATATTTGCAGCCAGTAACTTGCTGTTTCTAATTTCCCCAACTATAAGATGCTTTAGGTATATCTAATTAGGGCTATTAATTAACAGCTGTGTCTAAGGAACATGTCGGCCTTAGTCACTAACAAGACTACAAGATCGCGCCACTCATCCTACACTCATCCTTCACTCATATTTGGGTTAAAATACGCACATAGTGGCGTCCCCATCTTAAATAATTGAATTGAATTGAATTAAGGAAAATATTAGCTATCTATTCACTCAAATCTCTCATCTGACATATTTCAGATAATGCAGTTAATTTTGTTTATACTTGTTTCAATCAGAACAAGCAGCCATTGTGTCCACACAAAGCCACTGGTCAGTTCTCGTACGCCCCTGACTGTCGGAGGTTCATCAGCTGTTTCAAGGGCCGAGGGGTGATCCAATCATGTTCGCCAGGCACTCTGTTCAACCCTCGCACTCAGGAGTGTGACTTCCCCTCCAAAGTCACTTGTCTCTCTACCAACTCTGAATACAGGACAAATCCCAATACCCAGGAGAGAGGTAATGTGTCTGACCATATATAGTTTATTTAGGTACATTTTTTGTATAAACCAAAGTTTATTTTCCGCAATACTCTAGTTTGAGTTTGAACAAACTAAAAACGTGATTTGTATAATGTATGTTGCTTATTTTTGAGTGAGTTTCATAGTAGCTATGATTGTCTACTTTTTTTACTGGTGATAAAACTTAAGTTACTTCTTTGGATCATTACCAGAAAAGTTGAAGCTACCCTAGTATTGAATAAAAAAATGTTAAATGACACATTTATCAATTCTATGAAGAAATTTGAATGCATATACATTTATGAACGGTGAAAACCCCTTAGGAATATTTTCCCAATAATTATTACTGTATTCTACTGCAGTGGATCACTTATTTTAATAGCTTTCTAAAGAGATGTGGACTGATGGATGTTAGTCTGTGACCTGATTTGCCATTATACATAGGCCTATTGATAACATTTGTCACTGTCTGAATAATCCACATATAGTATGTTTCAGTTATTCAATTGTTTCCTATGACTTTTAGGTCCCAAACAAGATTCATCTCCACAAGAAAGAATACCAGATAATCCTGATTGGAGGGATGGTTTTAAGTCATACAAAGTAAGACCTCCAACTAACCAACAGCCTCAATACCAGAGACCTTTTAATGGCCATTCTGGTGTCCAGTTCCCTAATCCAGCATACATGGGCCAACCCGTCCCTGGTGACATGCTGCAGCCCCCTCCACCTCCATTGCCTGGAAGCATGTTTCAACCTCCTCAAGCAGGTTTCAATATACCTCCAATGTTGTTTGGAAATCTCAACAATGTCTCTAGAACTGAGCCAGTTAACACTTACGGAACACCCAATCCTGGATATTACATAGTGTACCAACAACCTTATCCTGCTACTGGCCAACCAATGTTATTTTCTCCAAATCGACCTGGATATCCACCTTCTGCTGTTTCTCATCAAGACATTCCTTTAGCTCCTCAGACATACCAAATTAATGATCAGAATTTTAGAAGTAATCCCCAGGGCTACAGAGGAAGCTCCAATCCTTCATTTTATCCAGGAAATCAACCAACCAATACAGGAAATAGTAACCAATACCCTTCATTGAATTCTCCTGGCTCTCCTACTAACAATCAGAACAGACAGGATTCCACTAACGGTCAATCCCAATATCCTGGAATCCAAAGAGGACAGAGTTACTCCCCTTCTAATTCCCCTCAGAATGGAAATGCTCAAAACGTCCAATATGTATATCCAAGTCCTACTGATGTTAACACACCTTTACAACCCTCAAATTATGAGCCACAGAACCATAAAAATGATCAACATTTTCCAAGTAATCCACAGGGCAAAAAAGGAAGCTCTAACCCTACATCTTTTCCAGGAAATCAACCAGAATATCCGCGAAATCAACCAACCAATACTGGAAATGGTAACCAATATCCGTCATCAAACTCTCAAGATGCTCCAACATACTATGAGCCTCAAGTAAACAATCAGAACAGACAGTATCCCACCAATGGTCAATCCCACTATCCTGGATACCAAAGAGGACAGAGTTATTCTCCTTCTAATTTCCCTCAGAATGGAAATACTCAAAATGTCCAGTATGTGTATCCAAGTCCTCCTTCTAACCCAAAGATACCTATACAGTCCCCAAACTATCAATCACAGAACCCCCAATCAGTAAATCCTGCCTCAGGGTACTACCCTCCGATAATTAATCCTGCAGGCCAGGTAGGATTTCATCCTAATCCGTCTTATGGCCAAAACAGCGCACCAGGTAGGTCAAATCCATCTCAATATCCAGATTCCAGAGGGTTTTCTAATCCCCCTTTTCCACCAGGGGAAAGCTTTCAAGGAGGTCAAGCTCAATCGGGGTATCCACAAAGTAGAGAGCCTCAAATATTCCCCCAAGGTGGCCAACCTGGCTACTTCCAAGTCAATCAAAATCCGAATGAGGATGACCCTGTTGTAAAACAAAATCCCCCAAAGTACAATCCTTTTGACTCTTCAAACAAAGCAGTCAAATGTCCAGCTGGTGCTAGTGGGTTATATCCTCATCCTGACTGTTTCAAATTCCTGAACTGCGATCATGGAAGGACCTTTGTGATGTCTTGCGGTCCCGGCACAGCATTCAACCCAGCTATTGGCGTGTGTGACTATCCAGAGAATGTTGATTGTAATCAACCTACAATTCAAGAACTAGATCAAGATGAAAAGCGTAGTGAGGAAGGTCAACCAGACTACTATGATCAAACTAAAAATGGTAAGACAATATTTAGAGTAAAATAGGTAAAATGATAAGAGAGATGGACAAATTTCCAAGTATTATTTTTATTTTTATTGTTATTTTTATTTTTATTACTATTATTACCAGTTAAGATGGGGAGGCCTCCTAGGTGTGTATTTTAACCCAAATATGTGTGAAGTATGAGTGTAGAAAGAAGTGAGATAGTAACAGAGTATAACCTATACTTCAGGGTTTGGAAATTTAAGTGTTCCACTTAAATTTGAATTTAAAACAAACACCATATAATCAAAATACCCCTGCCGCAGCAAACCTTTGTATTGGATTCACCCTAAAATATCTCCTTGAAAATATTACATTTATTCCCTATTTAAAAAGCATTAATATAACGAGTACTTACGTTTGTTGCAACAGGGAGGGTTAAAAAGTGTTTTTTTTTTTAATGTTAATTCGTAGTATAGCATGAAATAAATGCATCGGATCATTTTTGCTCGAGTTATCGTGCTAACGGACACATTAAATAGTACCAGGGGACCAAGCATTGCTCGAGGTGTTTGATTTGTTCAAGAGGTAAAAAATAAGACCTAGGCCTATAACCCTACAAATATTTTCAGTTTTGCTAAGATTAATTAAGTTGTAAAGTCAATTCGTTTTTGGTAGACATCCACTCATTCTTAATTTACCTAACAAATCTTTTCATGTGGACGAGCAATCTATATTGAAAATTTCTACAATAAACTTCAATATAAAAACTCATGATACATAGCATCTGTAGACCGTTGTTGCGTTAGTCACTGTGATCGCCGTTCGTCGCAACTAATTGCGGGATCTTGGAAAACTACAAAACGTCCTTGGCCTTTCCTCTAGACTTTTAGTTAATATTAGTGTATAATATTTTGCGGTGAAACACTACGTTTTTGAACACAGTCGTACCCTTTGGTTAGTAATACATCCTACAACCCAAATGTATTATATAATCAATGCTCAACAGCATTCATAAAAATGTCCTTTTCCTTTGTACTGTATTTTGTAATTTGCTACTGTACCGTAAGCGTAAGTAGATGATTTTTTACAAGCATATTTTAAAAAGTGCCATAGCTACTTGATAGTCCATAAGACTAATGTTAAAAATATTAAAATCTCATTTTAAGTTTCAAACGAAAAACAAATTTTTCCAGAACAGAGCCCAGCATGGATGTTGAATACATGAATGTTGTTATTAGTCTAAATCTAAGATATTTATAATAATTTGGAGAAAATCGTAGGAGCTGTTTTCTAAAATCATTATGCTCAAACTTTGCTCATATTATAGTATAGAAATACCGTGTGTCTCAAAAGTCCTACCCCCCTGTTATTTTTTTTATTAAAGAGATAAAATTATAATATTCAGGGAATGTTTATATGATCAAAAAAGGAAGTTTTTGGTGTATGTACCTATATTTTCACCCCCTGTCCCCCAAAAAGGGTAGTTTCGAGGTAAGTCGAAATTTTCAAATGTAAAACCCTAAGAGTTATACATAATCGTAAAGGTCATAATGAAAGAAGAAATTGGCTCAAACTAGAATCCTCTACGTAAATCATATCAAAATGTATAGCAGTTCAAAGTTTTAATTTAAAAAAATAAAAAAAATAAAACAAAACTTAATCCTACTAATATTATAAATGAGAAAGTTTGGATGTATGGATGTATGGATGTATGGATGTATGTTTGTGACAAGTGAACGCGAAAAATACTGGTCGGATTGGGCTGAAATTTGGCATGATGATAGCTCACATTCCCGATTAACATATAGGCATATTCTTATTTCAAAAATCCTTTCGGGCTCCGCCCCAGTGGCTCTGGAGTTTCCCATGTTAACCTTAAACATGGGTTTATTGAGAAATGGAAATTAATTATTGAATCTTAACAGCTGTTTCAATTAAACAAGTTGGTTCTGTTCTATGATGTTCAATAGCATTAAAGTTACAAGGATTACCAACAGGGTGCAGCACTATTATTTCTTTTACATTTATGACAACAGCTACGCGAACGAACTTCAACCTGGAGGCGAGTTAGCGTAGCGAACGAGCTAACCTGAAGGCAAGTGAGCGCAGCGAACGAGCTCCAACCTAAAAGTGAGTGAGCGTAGCGAACGAGCTCCAACCCAAAGGTTAGTGAGCGTAGCGAACAAACTTCAACCAGGACGTGATTGAGCCATGCGAACGAGATAATCTTGAAAATTAAGAAGTTAAACGGGGCAAAGCCCGCGGGTTACAGCTAGTTATGCCAATAAATGAAGAAAGTATACTTTTTCATGTGAAAAAGTACCTTGATTTAATTTGATTTAACTGCTCAAAGTCACAGGTAGTTTCCAATCACAGGTTAAATCCTGTCCGAGGTGGCGGGGCAAGGGTAGCGACCCGGCTTGACCTCATTTTCCAGGCGCTCACTTCGACAGCTCAGTTAGTTTGCTCCCGGCCACGACACTTTCCAAATTGCAATAAAGCTTATTTTATACTTCTAAGAGAAGCACTAAGGGTAGTTTGTGTGTTAATAATTGTTTGAAGAAAACTAGGTAATTTATTACCCGAAAAATGGATTGATCAGATGAAGATAAGGTAGAAATAATTTTGTTTTATGGTAAGGCAAGGAGAAATTTCACGAGGCCAAACTTTTATTTAACAATGCACATCCAGATAGGCCAACCGAGAGGGCCGTTTGGTTATAAAATTGTCAACCACATTCAGTATCAAAGATGCTCCAGGATCAGGCCGCCCTTCCGACAGGACAGAAGCTATGCAAGTTTATGTTAGAGTTTTAACCAATTTCGCACCGTTGCAAAAGATTGAGGAAAATGTTAATTTAATTTCTCTGCTATGCTTTAGTGACGAAACTTCATTTTCGTTAACTGTCACAAATGCCGTTACTGGGCAGATGTACATCGACACTGGATGGTACAGAGTGTTAAAAAAGTCTTAACACACCCAAAAATAAATTAACTTTGACTTTTCTAGCTTTTTGCAACAAATCAACATTTTGCCTCCTCCCTCTTTAAGGGTAGAAAGGAGACAACTAAAAAATTTTAAATTTAAAGACCCATGTTGAGGGCTTCATTTAAAAGGGCTTAATTAGTAGAATACAATGCCGCAAATTTGAACTCAACCGGTTTACTGAGTCGAAAATGGCAGCCATTCAAAGATATCTTGAATCTGCCATTTTGAATCTTTGAACGGCTCTCATTTTTTACTCAGTTGTTCTTTTGAGCTCAAATTTGTGGCATTGTATTCTAATAACTAAGACCTTTAATTTGATATGCATATTGACATAATTCAGTAATGCGGTACCTCCTCAGGGGGATGGACGCTAGAAGTCGGAGGAAAATCACAAATGTATGGATAGGTCAATATGCACATCAAATTAAAGGTCTTAATTAGTAAAATACAATGCCACAAATTTGAGCTCAAAAGAACAACTGAGTAAAAAAAATGGCAGCTGTTCAAAAATTTAAAATGGCAGATGTAAGATCTCTTTGAACGGCTGCCATTTTCTTACTTACTGCTTCATTGTAATTCTCTGCTTCACTTATATAGTTGAATATGGATGATGACACATGATTTATGAGCAATTGAAGCTTTTCTTGCTCATTAGCTTGAGTTATGCAAATGAAGTTCTTGAATGTGCTAAACCAGTGTTGATAATCTTTTACTGCTGAACTGGATTCAGGATCTATGTTTAATCTGTCAGGCCTTAACAATTTCTAAATGAGTGAGTTTGTTTGGTTAGTAAATTGATATAGATAAAAAGAGAAAAAATACCTTAGCACCGGTTTCCACACAAATCGTTGCAAGCAACTCAAAACGTAAACTACAAGACAGTCTGGAACACAGTCACAAGGAGTCTTGTCAGAGTTAGAGTCGGATTGAAAGGCTGGTGCAAAATGCCATTGATTTTTTGAGGTCATACTGACAGGTCGGTGCGTTTAAATGGCTACTCAGACAAATCGTTGCATATGGGACACCCTATAGGCCTCAGTTTTGTCATATTTGCTACGTATAGTGCATATTTGAATGTTATTATGTGTAGTTTGGACTGATTTTAGTGTTGACTGTTTGTTGCTATTGTTGTCTGTGTGTTATCAGTGTGCAATTTGTTTTCACCAAAATGAAAATGTAGACAGAGTTCATTTAAAATCAAAAACTTCCCGTGCTTTAGGTTTTCTTTTACTTTTCATATTTGTTGAAAGACAAATAACGTACAAGACCACAATATTAACTCCTCCATTGCGAAGCACCTAACACCTAAAAAGCCTCAAAGAAGGAGCGTCTGCTTGTAGAAGTGCCGAGTAAACGCTCCAGTACTGCAAAGGTTAATCCCGCTTGTAAAAATCTGCTATAACTATAACAATAAGCACATTTGAAGTTTGTATAATAAGTGTGATACCACAGAATAAGGACCTCACCAGATTAAGGTTAGGTCTTTATCATGCAGTCTATCAACGCCCAACGGTTTGTTTGAAAGTAACATAAACAGCTAGCCGCTACAACTAGTATGACATTTCACATTCTTTACATTAAAGGTAATGTTTACTCAACATTTCTACAGACATTCCTGCTAGTGCCCATGCGTGGCACCACAGCACTTATACTACCAGATACTCCTCTGCCCCTCAGGGGTGGTAAAAGACGGAACGTCTAAACCAGACAGCCCAACATCCGACAAAACGTAGCTTTTGTCATTGCAGACAAGTCTTAAGTTTTATCGTAGTGTGTAAACCCGCCATTGAAACAATGTTTTATCAAGCAGAACAAAACATACTAATGTAAAGTTTGTTTAAGAATACCAAACGAGGACATCAATAAACAAATAACACAAAGTTATTGAATCAGCTGCTAAACATAAAATTCTATAACAACTTTAATACTTATTTCTTGTTTGTTTAGTGAAATCTTTTTATGAAACAAATCCCTTTAAGTTGATAAAATACTTAAGTACCTAGTACAAAAAAAAATTATTTCCGGTATGAAAGCTGTTGGATATATCAGTTATAAGCTCTGCTTATCACCTATACAACACTCTTGTTCTTTTTACAGCAACGGATGATACAAATAATGGGGGATATGATGACCAATATCAAAACCCATCAGACTTGGTAGAGGCTGTTGATTTAAGAAGTAAATTTGATGATGGTTATGACTTTATTTCCACCACTCCTAGAACAACCACTTCAGCAACAAAGAAACCGGCAATACCAACATCTCAGGCAACTCCAAAACAAATGACTGTTTTATCTAGAGAAGAGAGGAACAAGCAAAGCAAAGAACCCAAAACGTCACACCCCCCACTCAACATCCAGTATAACCCGGTTACAAAACCACAAGAAAATAAACCCGTGTCGCAAATTCCACCGAAAATTTCTAGCGGAAATATTTCAACAAAGCGTGAGACCACACCTATAAGTAAACAGCTGGTCCGGTTGAGAGGAGGACAGAGAGCCAATGAGGGGTATGTGGAGATGAGAGGACTGAAGGAGTGGGGGCTTGTATGTGACAAACATGGTGAGTGGACAATCACGGAAGCCAACATCATCTGCAAACAGCTTGGCTATGAGAGGTATAATCACTCTTCCTTTTATTAAGCCTACTATTGAACTTATGTTTCCTTTTACAATAAAAAAAACGTAAACTCAATCGTTTTGTGATTTTTTGAAATTTAGGTACCAAACTAAACTAAACCTTTCAGGTACCTGTATTAAATGCTGTAAGTAAGTGGTATCATTGACTATATATGGTATTTAACTCCGTCAATACTCTTTAATCACTAAGTTGTTATTAGATGAGACTTACTAATCTAATCTTCCATGTAATAAGGAAGTAGCTCATAAAGTAGCCATGGGCAGTGGGAAATTATCATATGTATTTCCATCTAAACTTGCACTTGTGCTCGGCACAGCATCTCCCCAGGTACCGAGGTGTCATCATCGTCTTCTATGATCCTGGCAAAATCCTGAATACTGTACTTCCTGCTGACACGGAAACTTTATCATACTCTACAGTGATTGCAACCAAACCCAGGACATCATCTGCGGTCGTGTAGACGATGATCTCCCGCCATCATGGCCAAATCCATTTCCCACGGGGACAGAAATATAATATTTTTCCGCAGTCGAAAATTCCTAAATATCTCCCATGGAAAAAGAAACGTGCTTCTTCATCTTCTGTGATGGCGTCAAAATCTTTAATATCTCGCACGGTCACAGAAAAATTATTACCGCCTTCCACTATTGCAACAAAATCCTGAACGTGTCCCGCGTTCATGTGGACATCATTATCGTCTTCCGCATTCGCAGCAAAATATTGAACATCTCCTGCAGCCGCAAGGACATCATCATCCTCATCCGCTGGGGAATGTTCTCGTCGATATCCGCGATCGGGGCAAAAGCAGTAATCTTTCAATCACGTGGGCATGATCCTCGCAGACAAGTTCTGGGCTCGCGATGTTATAGCGGACATAAAAGCTCAGCTCAATTTTCTGACTTTGTGCTAGATCTGTCAAGCTTATAGGCCAGGCTCGGCTCGAAAATAGATATTTTATATTTAAAATATATCAAAAGTTTCCAATGCAAACCGATTTTGAACTAACCTGCTTTCAGGCCAAGACCTGAAGGCAACATTTTTGACCTGACCCAAAACAAATCTGTTTTGCAGCACCCATAGTATCAATGAAAAAATTGAATTATTTATTAGCTAGTGTCCTAGGCTTTTATTAGCCCATGCCCCATTTTGTCGTAAAAAAATGCCATGCTCATTCAGTTGAATCAGCATAGAGGGGCTTCTCAACTGTGGGCCACATTGGTTCTAAATATGGCCCTGTTATAGTACCTTCATGTAGGCCACGAGGACAGTAGATGCAACCCGCATGACTGATGAAAAATTTTGGACTTAGACTAGTTTTGGTGAGTCGGTGGCTCAGTTGGTAGCATCGCGGACTTCGGGCCCAAGGCAGTAGTGTCGTGGGTTCGGATCCTGGTCACTGCCACAAACTTTTATCAGTACAGTTCACCTTTGTACTGTACCGGCTCACCCCTTGCTTTGCTGGATACGTTCCACGCACAGATCTGTAGTCTATGTGGACGGGCATATGCAAGGTTAAAAGAGGCCACCAACTTCTTTTTTTTAAGATCACTGCCTAAGATAGCCGACGGTGCTTTAGTTGCTAGAATGTTAGTTGGATAGGCATGCTCCATCTATTGGTCTTGTGTGATCGTTGGTTTTTACTATCCTGTCCATGAAAATTTATAGTGTAGCGACATTGCGTCAAAATCAGTTACTTTTTCCCAACTCTCAAAATTTTTTATTTTGACTCCTTAGGCTATCATTAGAAAAAAGCTATGTTGCTAATGAATTTACCTACGACCGTTTTTTAAAGTAGCCGTTTCAGTTCAGTTCTTAGAATTGAAAAGTTTCACATAACAGCATTGTTTACTTACATGACAGCATAGTTTTACTTATCAACACAAGTAACGGACCAATGAGGTTCAAGGATTGAGAGAGAAGAAGTAAAATTGTAATGCTTCGAACGTCAACTAAGCAGCTGTTCCTCAGGCCAATTTAATTGCTGAGTGGTACAATTAGTGTTTAGTACAATGTTTCGTTGCATCACTCTCACTGGCAATGAGAGGTCACAAACAAAAACATAACCTCTCTTAGAAGTTATGACTAGTGATTTTTACTAGTTAAAACACTATTGTAGGTAAAGTAGTGTACGCAGTTCGTGTAAATAGTCCTAACGACACTCGTAGAAGTTTTTATGGCACTCGCCAAGGCTCGTACCGGTACCTTAAATTTTCTACTCGTGTCTTTAACACTATCTTTACGCGATCGTTGTATGAACTACTATTACACATTGATTGGTTTTTGTTTTCATATAAAACTAATTCATTTACATTTACAATTATATTATTTATGTTGTAGGGCAGCTGAGCTCACATGGCAAGGACGTCCTTCTCACGGCAACGTCAAAGTTAAGCCTACCATTGCCTTCAGCTCTGTCTGGTGTAATGGCAACGAAACAAACATCCTGGATTGTAAAACCAGAAATGGTAAGAACAAGAAAGATGGCATGTTTAGTTTTACTTACCTTCTTCACACCACTCATATTTCAAGAGCATGTCATGATTAAAAGTGTGTTTTGCCATAGACAAAAGGAATTAAATACAGACTGTCAGCCGTACAGTGGTTACCATAGTTACCATAGGTTGTGGCGCACACCGCTGGGAGCGCCGTGTAGTTACTTAGCGCGTATGCCGTAACTACATGGCGCTCCCAGCGGTGTGCGCCAGAACCTATGGTATCCGCAGCACAGCTGACGGTCTATATTTAATTATTTTTGTCTATGGTTTTGCATACTTTGAGTGTTTCTTTAAAAATAAAATTATTATAAATTTATTATTATTATACAAAATGTTTATATTAATACAATTTTTTTACATTTTAAAACGGTGGGATAGTGCTATAGCCATCGTAACCTCTTCCCTGGAGCAACCACTGATTATATACATTAAACAAATTAATTATTGTAATGCAGATCACCCAAAGACTGCATACAGTAACAAAAAAAGCTCTATCTTAAATTTTGGTCTTATAAATGGACATAGGATGTAATTTCAAGAAAATAATAGGGTTAAGTATTGGTTTATTTGATAGTATGAGAACTTGCAGACAAGGTGTGTGAGCCAGAGCGGGATGCTGTGTGGGTGAGGTGCCGCAACAACCCTCAGTCCATGTGTATGCCGGGGGAGGCAGTGTTCCAGGGTAGGTGCTACCAGCTGGTGGTGCCGAGGGAAGACGCTCGCATTGACAGCATTGGCTTCAGCCAGGGCGAGGCCCTGTCACACTGTCAAGTCAGGAGAGGTCACTTGCTGGACATAACCTCTCAGGTATCATCATTAATAAATAGAATATAAGACTCAGGAATATAACATGTTTAAAGAGAAGGAAAGTGAACCTTAAAAATTAAAAGTTAAGAGGATGAAAAATAAAAATAAAATTGATTCTGATGACCAATAATGATCCAAGTGGTTAGGTACCTATGTAGTTTAGGTTAGGTTTGTAGGTGGTTAGGTAGTGGTTTATGATATGTAGTGATTATTTTTTAATGACATTTTCAACGGACATAATGAAAGTGCTACAAAAGAATGTATATCTTTATACATTATAATTATATATATATATCTATATATATATATATATATACATTATAATTTGTAAAGTACTTTTTTGTCGGTACGCTATAACTTCCTTATTTCTTCAACCATTTTCATAAATAGTGCGGTTTCATTTTAAAGCTTTCATCTTCCACTACCTTGGAAAAATACACAATTAACTCAGATTTCAGTAGGTAGTTTCTTAAAAAATGAATTTTTTCTTTGAAAGAAATTAATTTAATTTAACTTAAAGCATAGACAAATAGGATAAATATAGACTGTCAAAGGAAGTTTCCGGCGCCCACCGCTAGGAGTACCGTGTCTGCTGGTAGCATAGGGCTCCTGCGCTCCTTGAGCAGTGTCGTAACTACACGGCACTCCTAGCGATGGGCGCCGGAACATATGCTAACCGCAGTACTGCTGCCGGTCTATATTAATTCTATTTGTCTATGCTTAAAGTGTTGATATAAGTTATTTTGATCAGCTGATTTATTTATTATGGCCGCCTTTCCGCTGGGTTGCAGCAACCCGTCAGCCACCAGAACTGTAAAATTTCATTGTGTCTTATGGAGCCCTTCACACTATCGGGTCACAGCCACCCACCTCGGTGGCAGCGACCCGGTCGCCGAAGAACTGTGTCGGTGGTCGGTGGCTGCCACCGTGCTTTTTCAGCAACTCAACTCGTATCGGGCCATTGTAGTATACCTAGCCCTTCACATTGGGTGGCTGCAACCTAGTTCTCGGGGATGCGCGTGCAGCTTGTTTTGTTGACTGACTGCTTTCTCTGTACCCTACACCCATCTGCTCACCCGTGATGTACACTTGCTTGAAGCTGCACATGAACATGTGATACTTTCTTAGTTTGCGGCTGTTCGTTTTGAGCTATAACGTTATCTACTGTATATTGCTTTGTTTGGTTTAAATTTAATTGCTTGTAAAAGATAATATGGATATTCGAATAGGACAATACATTTGGATAATAGTGAAAGTTTGTTATTAGCAATGGGTGTAGGGCTACTGAATCTGTTGGTAACCAAAGAAGAAAGAAAAAGTCTCAGACGAAGAAAAAAGTTAGAACATTTGATTTCACCTTGGAGAATGAAGTATATCACACGAAATAGAGTACTTTTCGCTGCGACCCATTGGGAAGGCGGCCTAAGTGAATTATATAAAACAAAACATTGATTCAAAAATACTTTCCCAAATATTTTGCTGTACATCGTTTTTACTTTCTCAATGACGACCAGTTAACTTTGTCTCTGAATACTTTGTTGTGTTCCAACGGTCAATGGGACGTCAAAAACAACATCATGCATTGGACAAAAGGTCACTGTCCATACCACCGATATCAAACGATATTATCTGTGACTACTACAATAGTACTCTCTACGTTAGAGGCCCAAGTCCTTAGAGGACCTTCAGACGGTAGATGGGACGTTTTGTAGCTACAAAAAAGCTACAAAAAAACTCAAGACTGGGCTCAAGATTGGTTTTAGTTCACTTGGGCAAATACACTATCGTATAGCTTGGCTGACTAACATAAGTTGGCTGACTCTGGCCAAACTGTCTAAGAAAAAGGAATTTTTGTAAAAGTTATCCTTGCTATGACTATAAATAAGGCACGAGTGACCTTTTTGTGAATTCTATGTATCTGCAAAAACAAAGCCATCAGTACAAAGATATTAATGACGTAATATCACTTCAAACAAAGTGTTCATAGAGCTACCCATAAATTACTAACAATGTAAATTGTAAATTACTTAACATTATGTTTTTGAAAAAGTAATGATGAATCAATGTGGGATTTGAGGATGATACAGTATGAATGCTTTGCACGGGTTGGCTAGTCTAATTAAAAACCATTTGTGATGGGTGAATGTGATGTGTGTTGTGTGTTTACAGGCGGAGAGTGACTTTGTCTCAGAGTGGCTGGTGTCTCAGAACATGACAAGCAACGTGATGACATCAGGTGTGGGAGTGTCTGTTATGGGGGCCTCCATCTGGATCTGGGAAGGCTCACCTGACACCTTCAAGTACCAGAACTGGTGGCCTGGTAGGTAACTTGTGGTGGTTGTGTAGGCAAAGGAGGCGTTTTACTTTGGCATATTCGAAATATTAGTGTGAACTCACATTGCTGCACCTTATACTGCATCGTTAACATATTTCATACTTTTGTTCATATTGTTCATATTTTTTTTTGGTTCATATTTTTGTCCTCCTTGTTTTTACATTACCTATTTTATCCAAACTAAGGCAATATTGTACCATGGATAAAACATACTCCCTTAGCAGAATTCTCATCCTTATGGAAAAGCTGAAGCCAATTTTCTTGTTATTTCAGTCATTTAAAACCTCTCTTAACCAAATCAAACAATCTAATCATAAACAATAACTCGTCCTCTAGTATATAACCAAACAGTAACGCACAAATGATTAAATTATCCCTTAAAATAATATAAACAAAATTTCGTCTACGCTAGAGATTAGTGTCACTGGACATGAACTAGACATGAAAAACGAGATTCAAAATTTACAATGGGATGAGAAGTCTACTTGTGTTGGTTAGTCTATGATTGTACTGTGCCAGAAAGTTAAAGAGTCACAGGGTTGAAAATCTGTTCGATTGTTTCAAGAGACATTTCATGAGGCAAGGAGAGACTTATTCAATGAGGTAATTCAGGTGGCTGTGATACACAGAGTAAAAGCATATGGACAGCGTATATTCATATTCATATTCAAACATCTTTATTCATCATAAATCATGTACATTGGTGGTACAGTGAATAATGTCAGAATACTTAAAATAAAAATACAATTTCTATGTATGGGAGGTGGAAAACCCCTCAAAAGAATATAATGCAAAAGAATATTATAGGAATAATCAAAAGAATATTATTTATTAATTATTCTTTTAGAATTTTCTTGAATTTAAATAGGTTTGTTTCTTTTTTATCAATTCAGGGAAAAATTTTAGAAACTCGTTACCAGCACTGAATAGCACTGCTGCGTGTAGTGGGGGAGATTTTAGAAAATGAAATTAGGTCAAGCCTGTTGCTACAGAGTACAGACATGTGTGAGGTACTTGGACTTCTACAAATGCCGAATGGCAAAAACATATTATTTTTACTGGAGGAAAGTTCCATGAAGTCACCTCTCAAGGGTTAACACGTTTGCTACCGCAATAGTACAAAATTTTTATGTGACGAGCCACCACATGTATTCAACGGCACATTTGAAAAACAGCATGCCCAGACTGACGTCGCATATTTTAGTCGGTGTCGCAATGTTATTAAAAAGCTTATATCTGTTGACTTAAGTGAAAGTAAATTACTAACATCTAAGGTTTTACTGTTACAATAATTATCTTTTATTTTACTGAAGTACACACACACAACATTTTTACTCAAACATAACTTATTCAACAATTCTCATTACTATAAAAACAATCCTAACTATTTACACATGGTCAGCTGTTACCAACATAAATTAAATTAAATACAGAACAAGTAACAGCAAACATATTATATAAAAATAAAATTACATTCAACACCTTCCCTTAATTTTAATTTTATGTAAGAAACAAAAAATACATATCTCGATTATCGTCTTCTGTTCAAGATTTTGGATAGTTGATCAAAGCTTTGCTAAATTGATGAAACTTAACATTGTTCAAGGGTTTTGTAAACATATCCGCAACATTCTCAGATGTAGAAACAAAAGAAATGTTTATTTTACCTTGCCTTACATTTTCAGTCAAAAAATGGTAGCGAACATCAATGTGTTTGCTTCGCTTATTAAAAATTCCATTTCTACAAAGCTTAATAGCACTTTGATTGTCCATGTTTAGGTTTGTTTCAACATTAGTTCCACTCAACTCTTGCAAGAAAGTTTTTAAATATAACACTTCTTTGACACATTCCGCCGCTGCAATGTATTCTGCTTCAGTGCTGGACAAAGCTACAATCGGTTGTCTTCTTGTACACCAGCTTATTGGGTCTTCTCCATACATTATGACAAATCCAGTAGTACTTCTTCTTGTATGCTTGCAATTTGCATAGTCTGCGTCACAATATACATTTAGGCAATTTTCTCCTGATGCTGAAAATAATATTCCTGCGTCTTGAGTACCTTTAATATATCTTAAGGTTCGTTTGACATTTACAACATCTTCATTGATTGGATTCTCAACACATCTACTTTCTAATCCCACAGCAAGTGTAAGATCAGGTCTGGTTTTATTGGATAAGTACAGCAAACTTCCTACAACTTCTCTGTAAGGATAATCTTTTGTCAGGCAGCTTACTTCTTCATCAGGTTTGCTCGTTTTCACTGGACAAATGGGAGTGTCTACAGGTTTACAATCTATCATTCCATATTTTTCGAGAATACTGTTTGAATAGTTCTTTTGTGTTAACAATATCCCTTCCCTTGAATATAAAATTTCCATTCCAAGAAAGTTTGATGGGTTTTCGTCTGTTTTTATTTTAAAATCTCTAGACAGCTCGTTCAAAAGTTTCTTCATCTCTCTTTCATCTGAACCAGCAAGAATTCCATCATCAACAAATATAGCAAGATGAATACTGCCATTTGTAAAAACACAACGGTCAGACTGAGTTTGTTTTAAGCCATATTTTAGTAAGCAGTTTGTAAACAACTGGTTCCATTTAAATGGAGCTTGTTTAAGTACATATAAAGTCTTTCTTAATTTCAAAACTTTATCTTTATGATCAAACCCTTCAGGTACACACATATAAATTTCTTCATCTAAATTTCCATAGAGAAAAGCAGTTTTAACATCAAATTGCATTAGTTTGAGATTTTGTTTGGCAGCTAATGAAAATAACAAACGTAAAGTTGAATTACTTACAACTGGGCTGTAGGTTTCATCATAGTCTATACCTTGTTCTTGGGCAAAACCTCTTACAACTAGTCTCGCTTTGTATTTTCCGTTATCCTTTCTTGTTAATACCCACTTGTTACTTAGGATCTTCTTGTTTAGTTTAGTTTTTGTTTGTTTAGCTTCTTGTCAACCACTTCCCACGTTTCATTCTCAATTAGGGAGTTTTTCTCATCCTCAATTGCTTGTAGCCAATTCTTTTTATCTGGTCCTTTGATTGCTTCTTCATATGATGTCAACATCAAAAAATCTTTATATCTTTCAGGTAGTTTAGTTTTTCTTCTTAGTTTGATGCTTTGTGTAGTATCAGTATTACTTGAACTTGGCTGTTCTTCATTGATTTCATTTTTGTCTGAAACCAACTCAAACTCTACTTCATTATTACTTATCTCACTTAGATTATCTGCACTCTCAATATCTTCATTTTCATTTTCGTCTTCTTTCTGGTCATTTTCATTTTTGTCTTCTTTCTTGTCATTTTCATTTTTGTCTCCTTTCTGGTCATTCTCATCGTGACTGTCATCGTCTCCAATAATTGTTGTTTTCTCCTGTTCTTTGCCAACATGCTTGCTTTTGTACTCAACGAATTTCACATCTCTTGAGACTTTTATTTTCCTAGAGCGTTCATCCCATATCCTATACGCATTCAGACCATATCCCACAAAAATAAATGATTTATTTCTGATATCCAACTTTCCTAAGTTAGGCCTGGTTATACGAGCATAAACTTTGCTGCCGAAAATTCTTAACCTTGATAGATCTGGTTTTTGGCCATACCATTTTTCACATGGTGTAGTGTCAACTGACTCACAAGGACTTCTGTTTACAATGTATGCGGCTGTTCTTATAGCTTCTCCCCATAGCTCTTTACTTGATTCTGAATCAAACAGCAGTGCTCTTGTTTTTTCTAAAAGAGTTCGGTTCATCCTCTCAGCTTTGCCATTTAGCTGTGGCGAATAAGGAACAGTGTAGTCTAACACTATACCCTTTGTTTTACACAAATCTTGGAGATGCTTCGAAATATATTCTCCACCATTGTCACATCGGATCTTGTGAATTTTTAAGTTCCATTTAGCCTCTACTTCTGCAAAATATTGTTTTACTGCATCAAACACTTCATACAAGCCTTTTAAAAGATATACCATAGTAAAGTTTGTGTAATCATCAATAAATGTGATAAAATATATTTTACCATCATGAGTACTTGGTTCTACTGGTCCACATACATCAGTGTGAATTATTTCTAGTGGTCTTGTTGCTCTTGTTCTTTCAGTATTAAAAGGTAGCCTTGTCTGTTTAGCCTTCAAACAGACTTCACAAGTCGTTCTTCTATCACAGGTCTTCAAACATTGGCCAGACAATTTTATACCTTCTGACATAGAAATGAGTTTATTTAAACTATCAAAACTAATATGTCCCATTCTTCTATGCCACAAAATTACACTATCATCCACTACCGGTTTACTTGTTTCTCTTTCTATTAACTGAGCATTTAAATTACTATTAATGTCAAAAATCTTCACTGTGAACAATCCATTTGAATTTTTTAAGCCTTCCAACACTTTATCTCCAGTTTTTCTAAGTCCTATCATAACTTTATTTTCAGAGAAAGTAACCTCACCACCATTATTAGTTATTTCAGAAACAGACAACAAGTTTTTACTGAGTTCAGGAACATATAGCACATTATTCAGGATACATTCTTTGGATTTTACAGTTCCACTTGTTGAAGCTAACATGGTTTGATTTTTCTTTGCAACATATATTTCAGAAGAAATATTTTGTTTATTACTTAACAAATCTTCACAATTTGTCATATGTGAAGATGTGCCTGAATCAACAACCCATTCAGATACAAAGTTTACAGTCCCACTATTAGCCCGAACATTTTCATCATACGACAAAAATGACACAGTTTTACTAGCGACATTTAGGTTCTGGCTTTTTCTAAAGTAACAATCTTTTTCATTATGATTTGACTTTTTACATATATTACAAAATAAATTTGGCTTTACATTTCTTTTTTCAAACTTGTTAACAAAATTTTTTACATTTCCACAGGTGTTTGCTAGATGACCAACAGCATTGCATTTAAAACACCGCCTTTCATTATCAGAGTGAGCCCAATTGTGTGTAGGTTTCTTGCAGTATTTTGCTTTATGGCCTGGAATTTTACAGTTGTGACAAACAACTTGGAATGCAAGATTTTTCTCTAGGCTTACCTCCTTTAACTCACTTCTTGACTCTTCTGCTAACAGTCTCGCTGTTAGATTTGCCAATGTCTTTTCTTCATTGGGCATTGATTCCCAGGCAGTTACAAAATACTTAAATCTATCTGGCAGACTGACAAGAATTTTTGATATTATAATTTTTTCATCAATATCTTGTTTTAAAGTTTTTAGTCTGTGTGCTATGTTTTCAATTCTACTTATGTGAGAACTTATATCAGAATTAGGCTCATACCTGAGGTTAAAGAATTCTTGTAATAACGAGTACCGTACTTCTGCTGCTCTGAGTCTCTTTCATAAATATTACACAGCTTCAAAAACATTTCTCTTGAGTTTTCACAGTTAATGATATGTAACATCGGCCCCATCTCAATAGAACTAATTATACACTTCTGAGCCTTGGCATCTCTTTTAATCCAATCAGCCTTCTTCTTTCCATCGCCCATATCTTCAAGTTTCTCAGAACCATCAACAATACTCATCAAATCACTGGATTGAAATATTATTTTAATCTGAAAATTCCACAATGGAAAAGTTTCAACTCCTTTGAGTTTTTCTACAAAATCATCTTCTTTTACTGATGCCATTGTTAGTCTTACTTTTATTTCACTCACCTTCACTACACTTTAACTCTTGGGGTTTTACTATAAGATTACTTCTTGTTTTTACAGTTATGGTTGAATTAATGAATTTTTCTGGGCCCATAACCTGTTGACTTAAGTGAAAGTAAATTACTAACACCTAAGGTTTTACTGTTACAATAATTATCTTTTATTTTACTGAAGTACACACACACAACAATTTTACTCAAACATAACTTATTCAACAATTCTCATTACTATAAAACAATCCTAACTATTTACACATGGTCAGCTGTTACCAACATAAATTAAATTAAATACAGAACAAGTAACAGCAAACATATTATATAAAAATAAAATTACATTCAACAATATCTTCGTAACGGTCTATTTGAAGGCACTGAATTCATTTTTAGTGGTCTACAGAGATGTCTGTCGCATATGTGCGTCACTTGGTGTGTAGTGACGTCATATGGTAGTTGGCAAAATTGTTTTTTTACTTTGCTACATTACTGGCCTGTGGTCTGTGTGTACTGTGAACTAAATGACACCCGGTCTAGATGTGTAATATTAAAATGTATACCTTGGTACGTGACAATGACCGCAGCATTGCATATATGTGGCGATCGGTAGCGAACGTTTTGAAGAGTTGACTCAGACATACCATCTGCTTTGCTCAATTCAATTTACCTCCACACATTTTGTCAATAAGTATGCTTGGCAAGTGGAGAATTAAACACAGCCCTATGTAAGGGGCCCTCAAGGGAAATGATTATGGAGGGAGAGTCATAACAGCTAACCTTACATTGCTGGTTGTGTAAAATGTATTTTCTTTTGTCATCCTTATCATAACCAAAGTGCTATATGTGTTCATAGGATGGGAAGGAAATAAAACTTCATCTCCCAGTACCAAGTCGAACAGAGCTCTATGTGTTATCGCTCGAAGATACTTTCCCTGTCCAGAAAAAACACCCAAAGAAACTGCTGAAATGTCTTTCTGTGACGCAGAGTACTTTTTTTGGGATATCGAGGACTGTGCTATAATGAGCAACAAACACCCCTATGTTTGTGAAAGAAATGCTGATAATATTGGTAAGTTTCCAACTTAAATTATATCTAAGCATACACTGCATGTATACTATGTGACATAATTATGTATATTTTATTACTTCTTAAGATAAGCTATCACACCATAAGTTAATCGAATAAGAGGAACAAATCGATCACATGTGTTAATCGAGCTTAAACACTGTATGAAATAGGAGATCCAAATAATAAATATATGGTTTGAACAGTGTTCAATCTAGAGGGCTTGACCATTCCAAGTCTTTGTGAGAGAATTTTGATCTGACGTTTGTTGTTTAGTCTCATACAACGGTTTTCTTCACCTGCAGATTTCCTGTGAGGAAGTTTCCTCCAGAACCCTAGGCCTTCTCAAGGGTGGTAAAGTTATTGTTTTAATTCTCTATTGTTGTTTTGACATCTTTTACGTGCACTCTTGTGGGTTTTCCATTACGGTAAATTTCTATTACTACTGGAGAGAGAACTTTGGTAATTATGTGAGGTCCCGAGTACCTGGGTAATAGTTTTGCATTTATGGCTTTATGGGCCTGTGACAGGTGTCTTTCCCTGCAGAATACTTTGTCTCCTACCTTTGGTTTATAGGGTCTTCTTCTGAGATTGTAATAGTGTCTTTGAACTCCATGAGCTTTCTCTAAATTACTTTTCACTAGTTTAAAAATGGCCTGCATTTCTTGTGCTTTCAATCTCGGGTCTATGTCAATTAATTCATCTGTTGGTAAATTTAACAGTTGAGGGGTGCGTAGTTCCCGCCCAAAATTAAGGTAAGCGGGTGAGAATCCAGTCGAGTTATGTGTTGCAGTATTGAATGCAAACATAAACTCGGGCAACATGTGACGTACTTTTCCACACTGAAACATATAACACTAGTTTACATGCCAGGTTTAAGTACCACGTGCTATACAGCACATTTAGTTTCCGGATAGGCCTCAGTACGGAGATTTGGGTTGGCCTTCCAGGGTTCGCGACAAGATGTTTCTTTCACGCTCAGCCGTGCCGTCGCCTTGGCTGAGGTTTACCGCGTCGGAGATCTCGAGCATCTGGTTCATCACACAGATGTCGCCGTAGTCCGGATTAATCCTCAAGGACCGGTCACTGCCCCTTTTACCGCAGTGAGACGTGGTGGCCTTCCATGGAAGCTAGTCGCCACCCCCGAAATCGTCTTCGTGTTCAGCACACGACATCCAGCCAGGCACTTGGGTTCTGCACACCAAGTATGGGTTGACTCCGTCTGCCGTTGTAGCCTGGGGTCCACTGTCGCCCTCCTGTCGTCACAGCCGCAGGCTGAGGCTCATTCCGCCCCCCCACTCGTCGTAGTAGGCTGGGGCTCATCCGGCCTCACCTGGCCGTCGTTGCAGGCTGGGTCTGTTATGACCACCGTCGATGCTACCGCAGACTCGGGTCATACTTCCCATCCGTCGCCGCTGTCGTCTGGGCATCTGGTTTCTCACACAGATCCCTGTCGGTGCTGTCGTATGGGAATCCGGCTCATCGCACGGACCCCTGTCTCTGCCGTCGTATAGGTATCCTGCTCGTTGCAGGAATACCTATCGTTGCCGTCGTTTGTTCGGGCGCCATAGATGTGACGTACTACGTGGGGGCATTGGTCCCCTGCCCGTTGCTCGTGCTTGTCGTCGTATGGGAATCCGGCTCATCGCACGGACCCCTGTCGTTGTCGTCGTCGTATGAGTGTCCTACTCGTTGCAGGGACACTTCGTCGATGTTGTCGTATCGTGGGGATCCGGCTCATCGCACGGACCCCTGTCGTTGTCGTCGTCGTATGGGAATCCGGCTCACCGCACGGACCCCTGTCACTGCCCCTTCCACCGCAGTGAGACGTGATGACCTTCCATTGTCGTTAGTCGTCATCCCCGAATCGTCTACATGTCCACATGTAGCCCCAGGAGAATCTGGTTCCACACACACATCCCAGCGTCGTAGCGGTACCTGGGGAGCTCCACCTGCCGCTGTAGTCGGGGTTCGGATCACCCACCTAACGTCGCAGCTACTACGCCTTCACTGCAGGCTGGGCGTCCATCGTGGCCCCAATCGAGACTACAGCCGGTAGTCCTCGGCCCCGTCGGTCTCCGCCGCCGTCCTGGGTGTCCGTCTGGTTCTGCACACAGACTCCTGATGTCGCGGTACCTTGATCTTAGCCGACTCAACCCCATTTCCCATTTCCTTTGGGTCTCGTTTATGTATTGCGCTATCATTGTTTCAATTACTTTATTTGTCCTTTCAACGGGGTTTGCCTGTGGTGTATATGGGGGAGTGAATCGGTGTATAATACTGTATTCCTTGGCTATCTGGTCAAAGAGAGTACTCGTGTACTGTATACCATTATCTGAGATTAGCGTGTATGGTGTTCCGTGTCTCAAAACTATTTTTTCCTTGAAAACCTGACTGACGGCTCGTGCGGTAGCTGCTCTGATAGCCGAACATTCTATCCATTTGGTAAACGTGTCTTGAAACATTACTAAATAGCAGTTGCCTTTCGTTGACCGAGGAAATGGACCAACTAGGTCGGTACTGACAGTGTTCCAAGGACCCTTTGGACACCTAAATTGTAGTTCTCCTTGTTTCAATTGACTTGTGTGCTTAAATCTTTCGCAGTTCTCGCAGTTACGGATGTATCTGGAGACGTCCCGAAACATACCAGGCCAATAATATGACCGAACTATCCGGTCATATGTTTTTGCTATTCCCAAGTGTCCTGCTTGCGGATCATCGTGGTTGGCTTGGAGTATTTAGTTTCTTCTTTCATGAGGAACACATAACTTCCAAGGCGATGTAGTACTCCTATCACCTCTCCCTACATTGTTCCATATGTGTTTATACAAACTATCATCGACTATTTTAAATGTGATATATTTTCCAGGTTGAGACTTGACCCTCGTAACCATTTTATCATACCATTGAGTCTTTTTATTATATGTGGGCTCAGGTAAAGGTGTGGACTCAGTGACACATACCATTAGGCTCTCGGCTGTTTCTGTAGTGTGATACATTCTTGAAAGAGCGTCCGCGACTTTGTTCATCGCCCCTTTTCGATACTCTATCCGGAAGTCGTATTGTTGCAGTTCCGAGTACCATCGGACAAGCCGCCCTGAGGGACTTTGTAGAGTGCTGAGCTATTTTAATGCTTGATGGTCGGTGTAGACGATAACGTGGTATCCTTCAATATATGGACGAAATTTTCTGAATGCGTGTAGAACGGCTAAACATTCTTTCTCTGTGGTCGAATACCGTTTCTCGTTGTCATGCAAGCTTCTACTCAAAAATGCTATTACTCTCTCTTGTCCGTCTAACTTTTGGAACAAGGTAGCTCCTAAGCCTAAGTCAGATGCATCTGTCTGTATGTAGAATTGTTCCGAAACATCCGGACAGGCTAAAATTGGTGCCTGGGTTAGTAGTGATTTAACTTTTTCGAAGGCTAGATTTTCCTTCTCAGTCCAATTCCACTTAACCGTTTTCCTCAGAAGCTTATTCATCGGGGCTGTTACTTTAGAATATTCGGGGATGAATCGCTTATACCATCCTGCCATCCCTAAGAAGCTGCGAAGCTCTCTGACCGTCCGAGGTGCTGGATAGCGTACCACTGCTTCGATTTTATCTGGGTCAGTTGCAATCCCCTCGGCGTTAACCATATGGCCAAGATATCTTAATTCTGTTTGGCAAAATTTACATTTGTCGAGGTTTAACTGTAGCTTTGCGTCTCTTAGTCTGTTGAATATTTTTGACAAATTCTGAAGATGTTCCGACAGTGTTTTGCCCAGCACTATTATGTCGTCTAAGTAGGCGAAGGCAATTTGCTCGATGTTCGGGCCTAAGACTGTATCCAATAGTCGTTGGAAAGTAGCGGGTGCCGAATGCAATCCAAATGGCATTACCTTAAATTGGTAAAGTCCTCTCGACGGGGCCGTAAAAGCTGTCAGTGGTCGGCTCTTTTCTTCCAGGGGAATTTGCCAATAGCCATCTTTTAAATCTATGGTCGATATGTATTTAGCCTCTTTTAGCCGATCCAGGATAGCCTGTACTTGCGGCAATGGGTATGCATCCTTTACCGTGGCATCATTCGCCGATTTTAAATTAAAAAATTAAATATAATTAAATTAAAAATTTAAAAATTGTAAAGATTCAACTAACAGAATATTTAGAAAGCAATAATTTAATAAATCCTTCACAGTTTGGTTTCCGCCCAGAACTTGGTACTGAAAAATCCATAACAAAAATGATTAACTACATTGCGGAAGCCTTGGATGGATCGCAGAAGACTGTGGGTGTGCTATGTGACCTATCCAAGGCTTTTGACTGTGTGAATCATGAGATACTCATAGAAAAATTAAGTATGCATGGAATAAAAAATACTGAATTAAAATGGTTCATATCATATTTAAAGACCCGAAAACAAAGACTTATTTTACAAAAAATGCAGAGAAATTATAAATCAGAGTGGAACATTAACCCCAATGGAGTTCCTCAGGGCTCCATTCTCGGCCCTTGTTTATTTATTATTTATGTTAATGATCTATGCAATGCTACTAAGATGTCCACCTTTCAATACGCAGATGATACCGCTTTAATATGCACAGGACAAAACAATGAGTTCATTCAAGCCTCAATAACTAAGGAATTTCAACTCCTTGGGGATTGGTTTGCAGTAAATGGCCTGTCCATGAATGTGGCAAAAACTCAACTAATTCAGTTTTCTACATCCAATATTAACCAAGAAATAATTGTAAATACAAACTTAACTACAATTCATTCACAACAGTCAATAAATTATTTGGGAATAGAAATTGATTCACAACTAAATTGGCAAAAACACATTAAAAACCTATCAAAAAGACTACGCTCAGCAACATTTGTTCTCACAATAATTCGGGATACTACTAATCTAGAAACACAAATAGTAGTATATCACGCATATTTTTCATCGATTATGAATTATGGAATTACTGTATGGGGCTCATCAAGCCAGGCCAAAAAAATATTTATTCTCCAAAAAAGAG